CACCCCATCCAACCGCCTCATCTCGTCCTGGTACCGCTCGATCGCGTACACGATGTTCGCCGGCACATGCCGGAAGAAGTGGTTCGCTTCCCCATGCCCGCGTTCTGGAAGAAGAGCCATTGCAGCATCTCGGTACGGAGATATGCTTCGGAAGAAGCGTTGAAACTGCATCTGTAGCTGGTGTCGTATTGTTCAGCTAGATGAAGAAAGATGGCGCCGGACTCGAAGAGGGGAAGTGGTGCCGGGCGTGGTCGAGGAGGGTGGGGATGCGGGTAGATGCGGAGGAAGGCGGGGGGTCTTTTGCGAGCTGGTGAAGAGGTCAAGGCAGGCGGAGCTCCTTCGGGGAAATTGACATCTTTTGGCCGTTTGGGGTCGCGGCTGTATGGAGGGTTGTCGGGGGAGGCATGGTTGGTGGGTATGTGGTGAGTAGAGATGAGAGTGAAGGGATGTGGTTGGATTTAAGTTTGGTGAAGATCGAGATGGGAAGGATGTGTAGATGTGTCACGATGACGTGAAGAAACGGAATACTTTAAGTTTGACAGGGCTGTCTTTTGTATCTGGCTGTTGTTTTCCTCTCTGTTCGAGCCGCAGAAGCTAATGAGCGCCTTGATTTAGTTTGTGCCTGTGCGAAAGGGAGGTCTGATATTCAACGAGCTCAGCCGTCTGCACTAACCACCGCCTCATCAACTTTGAAGCAGTAGCTACGATACCTCGTCATAGAAATCCCTACACTCGTTTACCGCTGTGTGAGGAGCTTCACAGCATTTTCAGTATTCGGAACGAGGGAAAAGTTCGGCATTTTTGACAACTAGTAAACTCGTAAGGCTACTTCAGATAGCGTCGGCAGGATGTGCACAAATTGGATGTGTAGCCGTTACCACCAGTTTCTATTAGTGAGTTGGAGTCCCACCAAGAGTGACAAAAAAGTATACGGCTATCTATGGCAAAGCACCGTAATATCCTGGAAGTATCGAAATAATACAGAAGCTTTCAGGAAGCTAGAGAAATGAACACCCTAGAACCCTCAATCATGCACATTCCCCTTACGTCGCAAAGCAAAACAGCCACCCCTCTCTCTCTCCCATTCTCACCCTCATCGCTCTACCACGAAACCGCCATGCCCTGCGCCGCCTTCCCGACCCCCTCGACCCTGAAATTCTCCACCTCCCCAATGCTCCCCCCACTCGCAACATCAAACACCGTCACGTGCGTCTCCGCGCCCGGCGCCAGCGCATACACAAACCCGCCCACGGCCACGAGATCAATATACCCGTCATTCCCATTCCCGCTCTCAAACACCCGCCCCAATTTCCCCTGCTTCGTCACCTCCACCAGCCGATTCACCAGCACATCCGTCACGAACCCCGTCCCGGACGCCTCGGAGAACGTCGCCCAGCACGTCGCCTGCTGCCCCTGCACGACGAGCTTCTCGTCCCCGTCGACAATACTCGTCACGCCCGCGGCGTCGGTCGTCGTGATGACAGCGCCAAACGACGCGTCGGCCATCAGCACGTCGTTGGTCCCCGGGATCTTCGCGACGCCGAAGAGCACGGCCGTGCCGGGCGGCGAGGAGCGCGTGTCGTGCGCGCCGACTTTCCCATCCGCCGCACGCACAGGGAACGCGGAGACGTAGCCCGTCGTGTTGAGCGGCGGGGCGCCCTTGACCGTCGTGAGCAGCTGGCTGCCGTCGGCGCTGAAGAAGGTCTGCGAGACGGTCGTGAGGGGCCCCGCGGGGGGTGTGGTCTGGTTGAGGGCGAACTCGCGGAGGTGGTCGAGGGGCGAGAGGCCGTGGGGCGAGTAGGTGCCGCACGCGATGCCGGCGCGCGCGCCGCTGGTGGCGACGCAGACGGTGGGGTGGCGCGGGTGGGCGGCGACGGAGATGGGGAAGTCGCCGATGGTGGAGACGGGCGCGCCGAGGGGGGTGAGCTGGGTGGGGTCGTGGGGGGAGATGGCGAAGGCGGAGAGGGTGTTGGAGCCGGGGTTTACGGCGAAGAGGAACTGGGGGGTGTTAGGCAAGCTGTGGAAGGGGGAGTGGGAGGGGGGTGTTTACGTTTCCGGAGACTGTGAGAGAGCCTTGGGAAAATAGAGCGTCTGGGCCGGCCGTCATGTTTCCGTTGGTTCCACTGCCGCCAGCGCCGCCTGTGAGGGTGGTGGAGCCGGGGCTTAGAGTGCCATCGTGGTTGATCTTGAGGGCGACTACGGCATTTGATGCCTCGTTGGAGAGGAAGTAGATTGCCTTCGATTTGGGCGCTGGGCAGTAGGGAGCTGCATGGATGCAAGAGAATAAAGTCGAGAAGACCGAAAGGGCTACGATTGGTCGGATCATTGTGTAAGAAGATGAGGTAGGATTATAGAAGAAGGAGATGCTTTAGAAGTATGAAGAGAATGTTGATTGAGTGATGGCTAAGGTCAGTACTGCGAGGATCAGCCCTCCCTAAATACCAACTAGTAGACACACAATTCCTCCATCCTGATTCCTGAATCTTGAAACAGCTCAGTGCGTTCTTCAGCCCGGTTACTAGATATAGAACACTACTGAGGCACCAAGTGGATAATGTACAAATTGGAGGGCTTCACGAAAAGATATTTGGAATGTCTGTTCAGCCGTGCAGTCGGCTAAGTATCGAATGACCCTTGATCAATCATGTTGAGACCCATGTGTTTGCAAGCCTAGCTCGGCCTGCTGTGAACCTGCGGTCGTGTTGTATACTGCATAGGGAACGCGATTATGGAATCGGGCGCTGCCCCTTGACCTGTTCAGGAGCCATGCAGTTTCTCCGATTACGCAGACTGCGGCACGAACGGTTCGCAGAGTAATCCCTTCGCAGATTGGGAAAATACGTACGATTAGAAGGATCCATAGGCATGCTAGACGTTTGAAATCCGCAGCTGATGGGCACGGGTGGAGACGAAGTGAGAATGTTTCCGTAATCAGCTAAGCCCTTTCCGGTAGTTCTGAATCAGCTAGCGCTCATCGAGTTAGAGGCCCGGCTCCCCTTATTCACTCCCAAAATAAATTATCTCAAGCAGAAAGACTTGGCGCAGCCTCAGGGAATTGTACAGTGCCTCAATATGTCTCTGGGGTTACTGTTTTACTGCTGTTTTGCAACTGTTGTAGGTGCTTCATCACATTCGCGAATTGAGTTGGCAAGATGAAAGCTCATTATCTTGAGCTATCAGTAACTTGATTAAGCCACCCCAGACAGCTCCATCTTAAGAGAGACTCGGCTGAGAGTAAAGAAGTATGACAGAGACATGCAAAATTGTTTCCTTCAGTCGTCAGCCGTCTGGATGCGGTGGACGCCAGTAGCATTAATGGCCAAACTCGATAAAAAAAATTGGATTCATTCGAGCAAGGAAGCGGTCAACGTTCCTGAATCTATTTGATAGGAGCAAAGTGAAGGAAAAAGGTATCTCAAAAGTCGTGATCCGAAAACATCAAAGAAAGCCACCCATCCCTCGATCAAGCTACTGCTACCGCCTCTGTCTCCTCCTTCATCCAGGCCTCTCGCTTCTTCGCAAAGTCCTCCTGCGTGAACGGCAGCGGCGGCAACGTCTCCGCAATATCCAGCAAGATCTCCGTCCTGCTCCTCAACACGTCCGAGTCCTGACTCGTGCGGCTCGCATCGTCAGAGTCGCTCCCCACACTGCCACGTCGACTCTCCAGCGCGCCCTCATGGTCCAAGAAGATGGATCCCCATAGTCGCTCGACATAGTGGCCGTACTCTGGATTACGGTGGTTTGCATCCGTAAATGCCTTAAGTAGCTTCTCGTAGAAGCTCTTCGGCCGCGCCTGAACCGTCTCGCGGGTGACGCCAAAGAAGGCACCGCTTGCAAACCACACAGACTCTGGATGCGGGCCGCCGATGTACTCAGTCCAGAACTCGGCGGGGGTCAGCTGTGCGCGCAGCATCGTCTTGCCGTTCTTGTGGAACCACCACCGGAACTTGGGGTCGGTTTCCCAGGGAAGCCCGGACCATTGGTCGAAGTTGGGGACGACGGGCGTGAAGCACGTGAAGCCGGAGGTGGAATTGCTATTGATTGATCGCGACTTCATTTCAGGCACGGGGACAGTGCTGTGCGGAGGGGTGCGGCCGTCTGGGTTGTAGGCGTCGCCTTGCACGAAGAGAGTCACGTCGGCGATGCTGTCGTAGTAGGTGACGAGGTGGTGGAGATAGGTGTGTGCTTCACGGCCGATGTTAGGCAGCGTGCGGACTTCTTTCCAGCTACCTGAAGCTGGTGTATTGCCTAATGCCGCAAGCCTGTGTCAGCCCTGGTGTAGTGGGAATAACAGTGATTGCTTCTCACGTCTCCCACCTTTCGAGTAGATGATGGTGTCGGGAGCGAGCTCCTCGAGCCAGGACAGCTCTTCATTGTAGTGCGCAACGATGCACTCGAACTCTGGGCTATTCTTCCGTGCCATCTGAGAAACTCCAGTCAGTTGAGGTTGGGGGCTTCTTTCGTTGTGGCTTACTTTGGTCTTGATGGAATAGCTGACTCGGAGTGTTTATTGAGGAGAAGTAGTAAGGATGGCTTGGAGATTTGGGACCAGGACACTATTGAGAGTGTGAAAGTACGAAATCGGTTGAAGCGTAGAATAGGCAGCGGTATCAGCCTCGTGTTATGTTGGTCAACATCTCACCTCCTTCCCTTGCCTACGTCACGCCCCTTCCTCCCCAGATTCAAGGCCCGAGTGCAATATCGCCGTAATCCTCCCGCAAAGGCTATCCAAGCCCTCTCGGCCCCCAACAACGCCAAGCGGGCCTATCGCCCTGAAGAATTGCGGTGAGATCGCAGATTAGGCTCACTGGGTGCGATAAAGACACAGCGCCGCTTGCATCCGTCTGGCGACTAAACACCGCCTAGCACTGGTGCTGGCGTCAGCCCTAAAGAAGGCTTGGTGCGCACCAATCACAACGCCAGTGCCATCGAGAACCAATCAGTCTAGTGCGTCGGGCGCACGGTGATACCTCTTTCGGTGGGACTGGTGGACATCCCGATGACGTCGGTGCCAAACTCGTCGCTCTGGTGTTTCGGGACTCCAGGCTCTATACGAAAAGCTTGACTTCTGAAAGAAGCTTGCAATTCGCCCGCAGCTTCGTAATACGACGAAGAGGATGCACGCAGCTTATATTGCGAGTCCGCCCCTGGTGCTGGTACCACCAGTCGGCATCATCCGAAGTCGACTCCTCAAAGGGAGGTTGTTTTGTGGAAGGAAACGAGTTACTTCGTACACGGCAATGCTTGGACTGCGTTTCATCATCGTCTTATCGCCCCGCCATCGTAGACCGCCACTTCGAAGGTGGCCGTCTTACTTCCCGAGGTTTCGAATGCTAATGGCATCTTCTCACCTTTCCACTTCAAGTCGCTACAAGTCAAGGGTTTACCAATCCAAGGTCGCGGTCTCGTGCGGACATTTATAGAAGTGCTTTAGATATCACGTGACTGTGCTGGCTTCAATTTTCTAAGTTCCAGAACTTTGGATGGGTAGATCTTGTCACTTCTTGGTTCTTCGGCAGCTACACTTACTATGAAGCTAGTATGGGGTGGTGGAGATCGAAATTATATTGATTGGATCACGTGGAAGCACGTGACTGTAAAAAGGATAATATGAAAGAGCCTGACAACTTCGCGGAACCAGCACTTTAAACCTGCATTCTCGACACGTAGACAGACTTAATTTTGAGTGTCAAAAGAGTAATCCACGTCGAGCTCTCTACCAATGTCAAGCAAGTTCACCGGTTGTTTAAGACGTTAAACTTGGATCGTATCGATATCTTCAAAAAGCATTTGGAGCAAGAAAGCAGTGGTAAAGAGGCGCACTCAAATCTACGAGGCGCGCAAGAGAGGAAAAGGTCACATGCTAGTAGATATTGAGCCAATTACTCAGGTTGAAAATTGATGTGAACTCTGTCTTATTTCGGGGGCCCGAAGGCCAAACTATATACTACGTAGGAAGTGACTGTATGCATAGGCAGAAGCACTAATTGGAGGCAGCAGTAGGCAGCATTAGGCAGGGTAGGCCACCGTACCCCAACCCCTCTCTGTAGAAGTTGTAACTGGCTAGGCATGTAGGCAGCTACTATGCCAGCAACTCCAAGTCTGTACGTAGGTGACCGTGAACCGTATGAGTTGTTGATCCTAGGTTGTAGCTGTTACAACCCGAGTCAATTGGAAGGCGGTTCGATGTTCTATTTTATTTCAGTTCTGATCACAAGACTTTGCTGACGTTCTGGATGGAAAGCACCGTGCCTGCAAGGTTGCAGCTAATAGAGGGTGGAAACAGGGAAGAAGCTTTGCGCAAGGAACTCCGGTTCCAGGCGTGCACACAAGGCACGCTTGGATGAAATAAAGATGAGTCATTGTGAACTATAGAATACGACTGTACTAGGACACTGCGTTCGTTCATAGCACCTACTGCTCTAGGAATGCTAAATAGCTGTGTGAGGACTAGGACCGTACGATTGTTGAGGTCCACAAGTCGTGAGCTGTATGGTTTTGATCCGCGCCCTAGTTCACACACAATGAATATATATCAATGCACAGCGCGAGATCTAAGATCGCTGCTCTCAAGAACGACTCCGTTCGTCCAAGCGGTCGTTTACAGTGCTCTGGATGTACAAGGATCTGATGTGTCTAGAACGGTGCGGTGAGATAGTTGGGTTGAGATAGGGAGTGTTGTCTGATCTCAACAGGTGGACTTTCCAAGCCTCGTCATCGGGATGGCCTCCACAGGTATAGTCGTGCCCCGCTTGGAAGATCAAATTGCTGTCTTCAGTCATAACGCAATAGTTTGTAGGGCATTATTGGCATGACCAGACCTGCCGATTTGCGCGAGACTTCGGCTTCTGGAAAGCTGACCGAATAGCAAGAACTAGGTCGTTTGTTGGCTGGGTTCGAAGAGGCTCTGGGTTACTGGTCAAGTGTGGGCAGAGTCTGGTTTCTGGGAAAGATATTTCGGGCGAAGAGCTTTTCGACATTTCTGTGTACGTGAATTCCCATTTTGTGAAAATAATGAACCTGCCTTGGGAAGTCTTCGGGCGAGCTGTGAAAATGCAGCATTCGACCAGAGATTGCCCTCCTGGCCGGCAGAAAACCTCATAGATTCCAAGTCGACTGTATTAACAGGCACAGAGTGGCATGCCATCAGCCTTGCTAAGTGTTCTTGTTCGGCATTTCCAAGACGGGTGTACTTAAGCGCGAGCTATATATGGTGATGTCCTAACTAATAGCGGTAACCGTAGTTGATAGATCCTGCTTTTCCAAGGCTTGTATATCTTGGACATTCGGAACCATCGACACAATGGTATGGATGTTGAGGAGTATCCGAACTATTCACGTTCTGCAGAAGGTAGCATCCTGAGCATACCATAGCCTTCGGCATCACAGCGGCAGCCTTCAGGCACATGTCGAGATATTCTTCCGGAGAAAGAGCTATTATGGCGCTGTCACAGGTCGCGCCAAATACATGCTTCATAGCGTGGCAAGTCCTCGAAAGTATATATTGGTCCATGAGAGAGAGTTTATCGAATATGAGCCAAAGCATATCCACAGGTAGTTGGAGGAAAGAAGACTGCTGCCCCTCTTTAGGCGGCGGTAGCAGGTCCAAGGGAATGGGATCTCGGCGGTAAGGAGGCGGTGACGGCGTCGTTGCATCCGAGGCTGGTGCGTCAACCGCTAGGCGGTGGTAAGAGGGTGGTGGCGACATCTTTGCAGCTGAATTTGGTCGCAGCGGATACACTTCCAGTCTGCGTACACCCTGCTGACGCTGCCTGGAGTAGCCTCGCGAGTGTACTAAGTGTCCACACTGCCGAACTTCACTCTCATTCGGAATACTGAAAATACCATGGGGCTCCTCAGGCAGGGGTGAAGTTTGTGATGGCTGAGTGGAGGTATCGTTGCGACAGTACTTCTCACGAAATCGACCGACAGAATGCACCACGAGGTCGTGAAGGCCCATATTGAAGAAGCCCCGCGAAGGAGAACACTGGCTGTGGGATGAAATGGGCGAGGATGAATGCTTGAGAGGTTGAATGAAGGTTGGAGAGTAACCTGCCGAAGTTGCATGGAGTATCAACACCTGGGTCAACCGCATCGAAGCACCAATCGCAAAGAACAGCGAGTAACTTCTGGCCGAACTTTGGGTACAACGTTCCGAGCGCACAACTAAGAATCATGTGAGTCGTAGGTAACTATGGGTTAATGAAAAGCAAGTACTATGGGTCGCTCATCTACCTGGACACAGAGTCTTGGCATTCAAGCGGCTTCGAACGATCTTGCAGTAACGCAGTATTGGCAATCGTGTGTAGGCAGAAAATACATGCAGAGGTATAAAGCGATCGGATTGGTGCATCGTGTTAGTTCCAAGAGGTTCAAGTTACAATGCCTCGTGATATAAATCCGTATACTCGTTTGCCGCTGCATGAAGAGCTTCATAGTATTTTCCACATTCCGAATAAGAGAGAAGCTTCGCATTTTGGACAAAGAGTAAACTCGTGAGGATACCCCAGACAGCGTCAATAGGGTGTACGCAGATTGGAAGTGTATCCGCTTCTATTAGTACGTTGAAGCCCCATAGACAGTGGCAGGCAGGTGTACGGATTTCTATGACGAGGCATTGTAGCAGCTGGAACTCGGAGAAGGTTTAAAAATGTAACGCTAGTGATTCAGTCGACACGTGTTGAGAAGCTGATAACGAAGAATATCATGATGTACTTATCGGTCGAGGAAGAAGGAGCGATGGAGATGCTGGAGCAAGATGAGTTGATCTCCGTGGACTTCACCCTTTTTTGAGAAACCGACACTTTTCCAAGGCGAGAGAGGAAAGTAGCAAGCTCTTTTCTCCCCTACTCGCTCGCAAGGAGCTCTGTTGTTCTAGATTGTTCAAGATGAATTGAGGTACTTCAGAGAGCGGCAAACTAGCGTAGGGAGCTAACGTCACGAGAAAGAGTGAGTGGCCCGAACGCAGCTTCTCTACTCTTTTCTGTCTCAACACAGCTTCTCCGATCCATTAACATCAACAATCATCTCCGCACCTCACATCAGTCCATCCTGCGACGTTAAATCCAGTATCGGACTACGCACAGCATGATGACCTCAGACAGTAATATGGGTGCGCGTTTTAAGCCCAGCCCTTCTCCTCCGTAGACTAACTATCGATGTTAGAGTATGAGAGCCGCGAGGCAAAGAGTACGAATATTACCTGGGATTTGAAAACAGCAGTGGGCTAACATTCCTTTGCCAAGTCTCGCCCGCGCACCGGCAAGGAGGCCTAAGTGAGTACCTCGGGGGACGCTGGCTATAACATCTCAATAAACATGACTTTGATTAGACCAGTCTCTCTAACTTCGGGGTGGAGAGTCTCACAGGAAGTGGCAGCAACGCCTCTCGGATGAGGCCGCCGCTGGCCAGCTCAGCACCGTCACTTTTCTGCAACGCATCTCGGAACCGATGGACGAGGCCGCAGCTAGCCAGCTCAGCACCGTCGCATTTCTGCAGCCGTGGGTCGCCCAGGACCTTCTGCGAGTCGAGGCACTCAACGCACAAGCTTCTCGAGAGAAGTATCATCGCCATCTCGCGAGAGCCGTCGATGCAGGACTTCTGTCGTTGAGCCAGGCAAAATGTGAATACCATCCACCGACGGAGGCCGAGATTGCGGCTGGCCTGGCGAGGACCAACGACACAGCGGACGTGTACTTTGCCAGCCGGGACACGGTTGTACATCGCCGCCCACCTGAGGTCGAAGAGCTGCTGCAAGTTTTCGACAAAGGACCTATGGGTGCATATGTTCTGCATCTCGAGGCCGAAGTCCATCGCGCGGAGAGGGTCGCATCGATGGCGAAGGTGGAGGTCGTAGCGGCGAGGGACAGGGGCTGGATGGAGGCGAAGGAAGAGGTAGCAGAAGAGTGGAAGGTGATGAGGAGGCGACAGAAGGAGTTGGAACGTGAAATCGAGGAGCTGAGCTCTGCGCTTGGTGAAAAACTAGGCATCAGCAATCTCTACCTGGCCATGAGAGCTCAGGCATTCGAGGCTGGCCGTCAGGATATAAGGGATGAGATTGATGCCTGTGGGAGGATTGACACGGCTTTCACTCAACGTGTGGTAGAGACAACTCCCCCAGACGACGCTGTGGGAGAGTCTCCTATGTCGTATCCGAGCCCTGCACAACTGATACCAGGCAACTCCTAGCCGTTCTCTTGATATCTTTACCTTGATAATTTGGGTTTGGGGGCGTGTGTGACGGACCGTAGAACCCTAGATGAGACGGGAGATATGAGATTACGATGATCGTGTAGTACCAGAAAGTACTCTTTTAACACTCCTTTACCACCTCTTATACCACCACTTGAAGTTCCTTGCTGCCATGTGTTGAGTGCATATGAGATATAAAATTCCGGAGCAAGAGGACTGGACTCACAACTCGTAGACACTGCTGACACTTTGCTAAGCATGTTTGGGCTCCTTACCACATTACCCAAATCTCAAATGAGATGCAAATTCTCGGAGCGTGCAAATCGAGCCCGTAGCACGACGCTCGTCTACCACTGCGTGAAGTCCTCTAACGCGTTTTAGAATACTCAATTGCGATGTACAACTTCGGAGCATGCGAAATCGGATCCCTGTCGTCAGTCTTCCACCAGCGCTTGAAGTCCTCCCTTACTCTTCGAAAACTGGATTGAGACGTGAAACGATGAAGCATGCAAATCGGACTCTTAGCATGACACTGTAATGCCGCTGTCTGAAGGCCTCCAATATGTTTCCGCATTTTTCAGATGCCATGCAAAACACCGAAGCTCGCAAATCAGCCCCCTTAGCAAAGAGTTTGCTGACGATCGCACACCACCGTCTAAAGCCCTCCAAGACCTGCTCACAGCTCTACGCCAGATGCGGAACTCCGGAGCGCGGAAATCAGCGCTACCAGATTGGGACTTTGATACCGCTGCTTGACGTCCTCCAGTGCCTTCTCACGATCTAGACGAGATATCAAATCCCAGAGCACGCGAATCCGATCCACAGCTCCCTCATCACCAGACGTCCGCAACGCACTCTCACCGTAAAATCCTCGCAAGACGCAACCCCCTCACCTCACGAACGCACCTCAAACACTCTCATGCACACATGAAAAGCCGCCACCATAACTTGTTTCATTGCCATTACGCAACTAACCTAAAACTGCCTACCCCCTCCCAGGCTCATACTCAAACTTCGGCCTCCCACCCCCCTCCCCATACGGCGCATACGGCGGCGGCGCCGGCTCCGCGTGCCCCATCAACGGACTCACCACCCCCTCGGCCATCGGACTCGCCAGCGGCGCAAATCCCACCTGCGGACTCACCCCCCCCTCCGCCATCGGGCTCCCCGGCGTCGCATACCCCGTCTGCGGGCTCAAGAAACTCGGCTGCGGACTCGCCGGTCCGTGCCCCGGGTTGCTCATCATACCCATCCCATACGCCGCGCCGTCCTGGCGTGGTTGCTGCTGCTGCAGCGGTACAGATTCCGGGTGCTGCGCGGGGTTCGGGTATTGCGTGAGCGGGGGCGGGGGCATCGGGGGCGGGTTCTTGCCGTAGGGGTTGTATTTGTTGCGGCGCCGGCGGATGAAGAGGAAGGCGAGGAGGGCAAAGAGGGCGAGGAGGAGGATGGGGCCCAGGACGGCGCCGGCGATCCAGGCTTTGCTAGCGGATTTGTGGTGCGAGGAGGTGGGCAGGGCGGTGGAGGTAGGGAGGGCGGGGAGGGGGGTGCCGGGGGGGAGGGTTCTGGAGGAAGAGGGCGGTGGGTGGGAGCTTGGGGTTGAGGAGGCGGCGGCGGGGGATGCGGTGGTTTGGGCGGCCGTGGGAAGGGTTGTCGAGGCTGGACGGGGTGTGAGTTTTATGCTTGGGTATGGAGAGGTCGAGGGTGGGAATTTGAGGTGGGTGTATATACCTGCCGCGTCACTCGGAGAGGCTATGTAGAAAACATGTTCTGTCTCAGTCGCACAGCCTAGCCAGTACCAGCCTGTGTTCTCGCCGCTGGAAACGAGGATGTAGTCCGTGTTGCACGATGCTGCGGGATTGTCACTGCCGTCTATTAGCTTTTCAAGGTATCTCGTAAATTCATGAGGTTTGGAGGGTGCAGAGAAACACACCAAGTGGTCCTGAATCCGCTAGCGAAGACGGTATCTCCTTTGCAGCTCGTCGCAATTACACAATCATCGTCAGGATAGCAGCAGCCGGCGTACGAGTCGCCAAAGGACATTGTCGCGCCATCGGGGCAGTAGTCGGCGACATCTTCATAAGCCCATTAGCGATTTCCCGTACACAAAAGCAAGAGAAAGAGTAGAGAGGCGGTATACATACAAGTGCCTAACGTGCTGTAGTACCCAATGAACGAGTCCCCGCCAAAGTCAGTCGTGAAAAACTGCCTCGGCACGACAGGCGCAGGAGTCACTACGGGTTCAGGCACCGCATTCGCAACGGCCACAAAAGAAGACGACAATGCGACCAAGGAAAATGCGAATGGCTTCATCGTCCCAGCGCACGCATCGAGGAGCGACCCGCTGCGCGAGGAGCGGCGGGGACGCGAGAATTAAAAAGAGGTCGGCTTCAGCAAGGGCACCACGCGATAAGCTGGGGCGTGATCCAGACCGGGTCGTTTGCAGGGCCGAGCGGAGAGGCTGCCAATCGCATACAGGAGGTTGCAGTAGTGCAGGGCTGCGAAGGGTTTGGTGTCGTGAGGCTGAGTTCGGGCGTGCATTGGTTTGGGCTGGCGATGCTGGATGCGGTTTGGCTTGCTTTTGCGATATAGACGTACGGGTGATCCTTTTAGGCCCCAGAGAAGCGGGAATAGGAAAACGTCAGCGATGTGTACTCTATGCATGGATATAGATAGGGCACATGTTTGAAGAGTGATCAGAGCTCAACGCGTTGATGCCTGGATGTATGTAGCTGGAATGAAGGATTCAGTTCAGCTGGAAGACGAGGCTGATGGGCTGAAGAGCGGGGAATCTTTGGCTAACAGATTGCAAAGACAAAATGCACGGAGTTTCTTTGAGGGAAAAACTCACAAATAACAAAGTATTGAATATCAGAGCAGTAGTCTGATAGAAAGGGGTGGCGTTGAGAAAGAGTTGAGGTTTTGGCCAATCAAGTCTAGGTATATGTAGCACGTGATCTTCCTGAAGCTGTCCACCATTGAAGGATGCTGTTGGAGAAGAGCGCCCCGCCAATGATATTAAGAGGACCAAAGCGACAGGCATGTAGCCTTGCAACAGATGCAAGCACTTTTGTGGAGACTCCTGGGGTTTGATTTCAAGGCACATCATTTAGTAGTTCCAGAAAGCAGGTAGGCGGATGCATCAAATGTCTACGCAGATCCGTGGATTGACTCTGTAGGTGGTACCAAACTCCATGCTATGGCAACAGTCCAGCGGAAACCTCAACGGCACAAAGATACTTCATTAATACCATGCTACTGCTATGGCTTAGGCATATTTGGGTATACTAGAGAATGAGGATCACGTGCCAAAAAGGAGGAGCTTCACAGCATCAGCGAATCAGGCGAGGCTGCCCCTGATCAACATCGATTTCTAGCCCGGAGACGTGACAGCTAGCCCGATATCCGTAGCCTCCCTGATCTCCTGCGGCCCCTTCATCATGCGAATCCCAGACTCTCTCCTTCATCTCCCGTAAACCGCCCTCCCTCCGACCCCAACGTCTCTCGCGTTCCACCGGCGACGGTAGCACAAGATGCCCCGCTCGCTATGGCTGATCCCCCGGATCCTGCTGGCCGGCCTCATGATCTACGGCTTCCTCTGGGTGAGGTCCTTCCCGCGCACCTGGGACGACGCGCCCGCCAAACAGGCCCCCAAGCAAGACGCCGGCAAGAAAGGCGGCCACAACCATCCGCCAGACCACAAGGCGAAGCCCAAGCCGCCCCCAGCCAACCCGGAGAAGGTCGTCGTGTCGATTAAGACGGGCGCGACCGAGGCGTTCGACAAACTGCCCTCGCAGCTCCTCCTTACCGACTCGAAATACCTCTCCAACTTGCTCCTCTTCTCCGACCTCGAGCAGGACATCGGCGCGTTCCACCTGCACGATGTGCTCTCCAACATCTCGGAGAAGCACACGGTCAATAACACCGACTTCGACCTCTACCGCCAGCAATACGAGTACTGGGCACTAGGCCTCGACATCGGCGCCCTCAAGTCGGTGCCGGACCCAAACCCCGATTGGCGCACAAAAGGGCATAACGCGGCATGGGCGCTGGATAAATACAAGAACCTGCACATGCTGCAGCGCGCGTGGCAATACCGTCCCTCACGGCACTGGTACCTCTTCATCGACACAGACACGTACGTCTCCCGAAGAAACCTCTACGAGTGGCTGGGCCAGCACGACCACACGAAGCCGTGGTACTTTGGCGTGCCGACCCAAAACCCCCACTTCAAGGACGGCGACACGTACCCCTTCGGGCACGGCGGCAGCGGCTTCGTGCTCTCTGGGGAGGCGATGAAGCGGTTCGCCGTGGACAAGGCCGGGATACCACAGCGGTGGGACAAGCGGATAGCCAAGATGTGGTTTGGAGACTACGTCACCGCCGCTGCCTTGCACGAGGAGCTCGGGCTCAACATCACGAGCTCGTTCCCCGAGTTCAGCGGCATGAAGCCCTCCACCATCCCGTACAGCGCCGAGCTGTGGTGCGGGCCGGTGGTCGCGCTACACCACGTCCGGCCGGAGGAGAGCTGCGCTATGTGGCAGTTCGAGCGCGAGAGAGAAGGGAAACGCGCCCCGATGACCTTTCAGGAGCTGTGGAAGAAATTCATCAAGACGGAAGAGCTCGGCGAACCGCGGGAGGACTGGGACAATCTCTCCTCGGATTTCTCGAATGTGAAGTGGAACATCGTCTTCAAGAAGAAGGACGAGAAGCCCAAGGCCAAGCGCTCAGAGGCCGAGGAAGCGGGCAAGGAAGAGCCCGCCTCAGACGATCCCGACGAGTCGTTTGAGGCCTGCGAGAAGGCGTGCGCAATGCACGAGAACTGCATGCAGTATTCCTTCTCCAACTCCACGGCGCCGAATTTCAACAAGAACGGCGAGACGAAGTGCCATCTCAGCAGCAGCTTCAGAGTGGGCTCAATGCGGGAGCCGGACCAAATTGTGAGCAAGAAGAACCCAACTATTTGGCGGAGCTGGAAGAGCGGGTGGAGGAGAGATCGCTTCGAGCTGTGGGCTGCCCAGCAGAAGTGTGGGGAATAGGTTGGAGATGTGGATGGTATACCCCGTGGCGCTGTATCTGAGCGTGTATAATCATGTATAGACTAATTTGGCTGGAGTTTGAGGATGACATGAGGGCCTTTTGGTTAATGTAGTGTCAGTAGTATAGCGGAGCCCTATGTCCTGTGGGATGGGGATTCTGAGATTTCTATAAATGAATGGTTTTAGTCTCCTATCACGTGCACGTCACCTGACTCACTTCATCTCTTGGCACTTGACAATAATCCACCAGAGTACCTCAGACAGTACCAAGCAATACGGCGCCCTGCCATAGATATTCGTCCAAGTTCCAGTTGGTGGAAATCCAACGTACTAAAAAAAAACCAGTCGCAGCGGATCCGCTTTACGATTTGCGTACACCGTGCTGGCACTGTCTGGGGTCGCTTCACGCGTTTACTAGTTGCCCAAAACCAAAATGCCGAACTTTTACCATACTTGGGAATGCTGAAAATGCTATGAAGCTCCTCATGCAGCGGTAAACGAGTGGACAGATTTCTTATGACGAGGCATTGTAGTTACAGAAAACTTTCGCCAGGGCACTGTGGGTATAGAACCGAAAGTAACTATCTATATCATTTTCCGAGAAACTCAAATACTACAATACTACTAAACTTCAAAGAGCAATTCTATTTCCTGAAACGAGCCCTTATGGCTCGACTTCATACCCACCACCTCCACCACCTCCGCTCCTTCTGACCTCTATTCCAGTCGCAGTCGTTGTCTGGACCATCGGGACCAGGCCTGTCACGATCGGGGTCCTCGCGGTCAGGTCTGCCTTGATCTGGGCCGTCATTGTCAGGTCGGTTTCTGCCAGGCCTGCCTTGATCCGGGCCACCATTGTCAGGTCGACCTCTACCAAGCCCACCCGGCCCATCCTCAGGCCTTCCATCCTGCTCAGGACGGCCCCTTCCCGGGCGCCCCTCAGGTCCATCATCACGGTCAGGACCATCCCAATCCGATCCTCCTCTCCCCGGCCTATGCTCACTTCCCCCATCCCACTCATGCCCCTCCTCCGGCTCAACACAATACCCGCCCCCCACCCCCCGCCGTCGGCGTCGGAGGCACACCCGTAATCCCCGTCGGTATATTCGTCGTGAAACTCCACGTATACGGCGAGAAGCAGAGCAAGCTTGTCCTCACATGTGTTCTAATAGAGCGCGTCGTAACCGGGCCAACGCAGTAGCCGCCCCCGCTTCCAGCGGTCGGCGTGGGCGGGATGCCGGTGATGCCGGATGGTATGTCAGTCGGGAAGCTCCAGGTGTAGGGCGAGAAGCAGAGAGAGGATGTTTCGATCGACGAGATGGTCGTGAGGGCTGGGCTTGGACGGTGGTGGGGCGGGCGGGGCCCTTCGTCAGGGCGTTCTTGGTGATCCTCCGGCCACTTTGTTACAGTAACGGTTGATCCGGGGATGTAGCACGGTTTTGAGTATGACACGGGGGTTGGCTCGAGCGTGATGACGGGAGCGGGGCGTTCGCAGGAGCCGAAATGGGATTGGCAGCCGCGACCGCAGGCGAAGGGGGTATTTCCGCTGGTGTGAGGTTAGTATCAAGGTGTAACGGTGAAGGGGGAAAGTTCTTACCATAGTCCATCGGGACCACAGCATCTTCCGAATCTAGATCCGTTGCAAGTGAGTCCTCTGTGCTCTCCGCACGTTCCATCGGGCGAGATGGGGCTGGAAGGTGGTGGAGTGGCGGGTCGCGGCCGTTTGCATGCGCCGAAACAGGGTTGGCATAGTTCGCCGCAAGCAAAGTCGTTGTTTCCGCTGTTTTGAAGGGTTAGCGATCGAAAAAGGAATAGAATAGTCGGAAGGGACAGTCTTACCAATGACCGTCTTTGCCACAGCATCTACTGAACGGAGATCCCCTGCATGTATAACCCTTACGACCTCCGCATTTCCCATCGGGGGAGACCGATGCTGGTGGTATATTTGGTCTTGGCGAGGGCTCGTTCTCACAGCTCTTCTTTCCTCCCCTGATATAGCAAGTTGAGAAGGATGAGGATGATGGCCTGGCCACCTCTCCCAGCGGCAAACTTATAGAGCTAGAGTAGACAGACGTTCCGCTACTAGAAGGAGATGCTACGCTACTAGAAGATGTTATGCTGCTAGAAGGGGATGTTGTACTACCAGAAGGAGATGTTGTAGAGGCAGCACTAGAGCTGCAGGGCGAAGGGATACTAGCGCCAGCGGAAAAAACGCTTGTGGGTGACGGTGCTTCCGAAGATACTGGAGATGCGGTTGAGCAGGGGACCTTCATCATCCCTCCGCTAGACGGTTGAGATGTGGTTTGTCCAATAGCGCTTCTCAATGTACACGAGCCCATTGCATATGTGAAGTCAACACACTCGCTTAACCCTGCGCATTGGACCTGACAATCCGAGAACGTCGTACGCGTTGGCCCACTTAGAACGGTTCCTGAATGAAGGAGTCCACAGTACGCGCGGAGACAGACGTCCAAGTATTGATACACTTGACCGTCTTGAACTCCGTTGCAGGCAAGTGGCTGCGGAGATGAAGACTCACCAAGCGCGGAGGTTGCACTAGTACTTGATGGGGAGCCTGAACTTGATTGAGCGGCAGAAGAACTAGTTGTGGGTGGAAGGGCTACTGTTGAGCTTGTCAGCGATGAGACCACACCACCTCGAGACGTTACGGTAGAGCTACCAGTAGATGAAGTAGAGACACTCGATGTACTCGTCGACGCGCTCATTAGGGATGATGAGAGCGGGTTTCCGGCCATCGTTGATAGTGACGAGGAGCTTGATATCACAGGTGTGATTGCGGGAGAGAGTGGCGGCGAGCTTGAGCCGACCAATAACTGTGCTGCACAAACCCCGGGCTGATTCCGCGATATGCCAACATTACTCTTCATTTGACAGGATGAGCTCATGCTGGTGTACTGGACACCCACACAGCCATGTGTAGTACGGCAAGTAGATATGCATCCCGAGAAAGAGAGGTTTCCCATTGCTTGGCCGAGGTTTCCGGAGGGCCCGCCCATGTAGCTGGTATTACATTCAACAGTAAAGTCGGATCCGGTATCCGAGTATCCTTGACTAAGACCGCAACAAGCGGCTGAGCTTGGGCTACTAGAAAAAGTGGAAGATATAGTTGAAATTACAGAAGATGCAGTCGTGGAGACACCAAGTGCCGGTGAGCCTCCTGACCCGCTGAGGGAAGACGATATTGACGGGGTAGTGACTGACGCAGAAGCCGAGGTTGGTGAGTCCCTTCTTGGCGATGGCAATGCCACCGAAGTTGAGCTTGGAGCCATGAGCGAAGATAGTGAGCTCGGAGACAGAAAAGAAGATAGCGATGCGAGCGACGGCGAGCTTTGAGCCCCAGGTGAAGGCGAGGACGGCAACGAGGCTGATGGCAAGCTGGGAGCTACAGGCGAGGACGTCGGAGCAAGCGACGATGAACTAGAGCTGAATGCTCTCCTTGCCGCACAAGCCCCAGGTTAATTTGTCGAAGTAGTAACATCATTCTTATACAAGCAAGTCGAGCTGGAAGGTCCTTGGTTGCCAGGCGTGAACTGAACACCCACACAGCCAGCTGTGGTGCTACATCCAGCCATACAATTTGCGAAGGTAACACCACGCACAGATTGTATGCTTTGACCTGGATGATTCGTGTTACATTCAACAACATACTCAGACCCAGTGGCTAAGAAGAGCCCTGCGCTAAGGCCGCAACAGGTGGCGCTACTAGGACTAGGGATGGACGGAGCAGATGAGTTTGATGCACTAAATGAGCTGCTGGCTCCCAAGGACGTTGTGGTCTGAGAAGGTAATACTGGGAGATTGCTTGGGGCACCTCCGGTTGCTACCGATGTGAGAGTTGACGACGACCCTGCTGGGTTCGAAGATGGCACACTGGCAGAGACAGAGCCACTGCTGCTGATGCTCGCGGATGGAGATGGTGGGAAATTACTTGAGGAGTTCCCAGGTGCGAGTGATGTGAGAGTTGACGACGACCCTGCTGGATTTGAAGATGGCAGAGCCGTAGAGATGGAAACGCTGCTGCTGATGCTCGCTGATGGTGAAGTTAGGCCACTGGGTCCTCTGGTTGAGTCGGTCCCGGGCAGTGAAGCTGGCGAGTTGCTTGGAGAAGTTGAGCCTCCAGGTCCACTTGATAGACTACTTGCTGATAGTGAAGCTGCAGATGTACTAGGAGAACTCTCTGGTGGCGAACTTGGTGAGTTGCTTGGTGAGCTGCTTGGAGAAGTTGGGCCACCGGGTCCGCCAGATGAACTGCTTGGTAGAAGCGAAGCTGCCGAGTTGCTCGGAGAAGTGGGCCCACTGGATGCGCCTGAAGAGCTGCTTGCTGGCGTTGAAGCCGGTGGATTACTTGGAGAAACCGGACCACCGGGTTCGCTAGATGAACTGCTTGGTAGAGGTGAAGCTGCCGAGTTGCTCGGAAAAGTGGGCCCATTGGGTATGCTTGAAGGGCTGCTTGCTGGTGGCGAAGTTGGCGAGTTGTTTGGAGAAACTAGGCCACCGGGCCCACTGGATGAACTGCTCGTTGGCGGGAAAGCTGACGAAGCACTTGGAGAATCTGCTAGTGGCGATGTTGGCGAGCTACTTGGAGGAGTTGAGCCACCGGATAGGCTAGGCGGATTGCTTGCTGGTGGTGGAGCTGGCGAAGCTGGCGTGTTGCTTGGAAAGGCTGGGCCACCGGGTCCGCTTAATGGACTCCTGCCTGCCGGCGAAGCTGATGAAGTGTTTGACAAATTCGCTGGTGGTGATGTGGGTAGGCTGCTTAGAGAAGTGGAACTACCGGGCCCGCTAGACGAACTGCTTCCTGAGAGCGAAGCTGACGGGTTGTTTGGAGAAGTTGGCCCTCCAGGTCGGTTAAATGAACCGCTTGGTGGAGGCGAAGCTAGCGAACTGCTTGAAGATACTGGGCCTCCAGGTACGCTGGTAGGACTGCTCGAAATGGTGGATGGTGTATTCCCTGGCAAACTAACAGCACTTGAACTACTCGAGGTTGGTGACACAGACAGCGCGCTAGAAGACATGGTCCCTGATACGGTCGTTATTGTTGTCGTGATTACCATTGGAAGGCTTGTGGCGCTTGCTGTGGTTGGTATTGAGCTTGATGAAGGCTCTCCAACCTTTGTGAAGAACGCTGCCGGCCTCTGATTAGTAGTGGGAGGTCCGTTCGTATACCTCTTGAGAATACAAAGCCTGTTCTGAGTATAGACGACACCGACGCACGAGATATTGGCTGCACAGGCGCCCAAACATGTTGACAGTGGGACATCTGTCAAGTTTGCAATGTCCGTAGTGGGGTCGGTATATGTTGCGTTACAGTTCGGTTGGAAGCAAACACCTCCTTGGCAGTAGGTTTGGCCTTCGGTATACCCAAAACAACTTTTAATTGTGGGAGACGCACTATAGCTTGCGGAAGAAGTCGTTATCGAGGGGCTTGAAGAGCCCCCGGTACTGCTTGAGGATTGTGCAGATGATGACGGTGAAGAAATTTCAGACGGCGATTGAGAAGAGGCTAGACTAGAAGAGATTGACGATCCAGAGAGCGATGTGCTGATCGTGCTAGTTCCAACCAGAGATGATGGACTCGATGTAGCTGTCTGGCTTTGCGATGGGGAAGAAGCAATGTCAAGAGATGACTGCGAGCTCGAGATATCAGACAAGGTGCTTGTAAGGCTGCCCGAAGAATTAAAGCTTGCTGATGGCAACTGACTGCCCAAAGATGGACTAGATGTAGCTGGACCTTGTGGTGGGATGAAGAAACTCCAAGAGGTCATTGCGAGCTCGACAGGCTAGGCACGATGCTCGTAAGGCTGCCCGAAGAGTTAGGGCTTGATGATGACGATGGGCCTCCTAAAGATGGACTCGCTGAGAGAGATGAAGATGCAGATAAAGTTCCCGAAGATTGCGATGAGGAGCCTGGCGACGGACTTCCCGAAGACAGAGATGCAGCAATCGACAGGGACGAGCTACCCGATTGACTAGTCGAGCCAGCCAAAGATGAAGAGCTACTCGCGAAACTGCATACTGCCGAATCGGTAGTGGGGCTACTTGAAGCCGTGCCTATGCTAGATTTAAGCTGGCACGATTTTGATGTTCTCTCGTAAGACACTCCCAAGCAGTTAGTTGTTTGCTGACACGTGCTGATACAGGCCTCAAAGGTAGTCTTAATCAACGCAAATCCAAGGTTTCCAGTAGCATAATTGGTGTAGCATCTGATAGTACATACACCACCGCCAGGCGGAGAGTATGGCGGCCCGTTTGAACTGGGACACAAGCTTGAAGGCGACGATGCAGGCGAAGATGAGGTCGCTGATCCAGAGCTTGATGCTCCACTAAGGGCCGAGGATGGGCTGCTGGTTGACGGTGTTGTTGATCCGGAAGCGTTCAAAGATGGCGAGATAGAGATTGTCTTTGAGGTCGTAATCGAGGCCGACGTAGGAGACGAATTCGTGACCACCGAGCTAGTGACCGACCCAGGCGCTGAAATTGAGTTGGAAATCGGAGACGACGAGCCGCTCAATCTCAGATTGCCTGAGCTTACGCTAGGCTGGGAGCTTGAGCTCAGCTGGCGCGACGTCGGAGATAGCGTTGAAACCATCGACGGGCTGGAGATGCCACTGAGCGTTGATAACGAGAGTCCTAGTCCACTTATTGAGCTGGGAGATGATGCAGACGATGTAGTTGTTACAGATAGCGGGCCTGAGGAGGTTGGAGTAGGCAATGCTGAAGTTGTTCGAGAGGAGCCGGATAAATTATTCGATGTAGTGGATGGGACTGAGTTCATGGATGGGCTAGATTCGCTACTTGGAGGGGAAGAGACACCTTTCCCACCGAATGAGCTGGGTGGAGCTGAAATTAATCTAGAGGAGGTGGATGAAGTATTCGAGGTAACGGATGATACTGAAATGATTGATAGACTGGAACCGCTACTAGTCGGAGGGGTAGAAACTTCTTTTCCACTGAACGAGCTGGGTGAAGACGAAGTCGATCCGGAGGAACTGGATGAAGTACTTGACAGGACTGAATCTGTAGATGAGCTAGAGCTGCTACTAGGTGGGGGAGAAGAAATGTCTTTTCCACTGAACGAGCTTGGTGAGGGCGAAGCTATGGGTGAGATGGAGCTACTACTAGGCGGAGGTGAAGAGACGCCTTTTCCACTAAAGGAGGTGGGCGAAGGCGAAACCGCTAAAGATGAGCCAGAGCTGCTACCGGGAGGAGAAGAACCCCCATTTCCACTGGAACTGAAGAAGCTGGGAGAAGGTGAAGATGCAGAGGAAGAGAACACGCTGGAAGATGAAGGACTAAGCTGAGTGCTGTTCAATCCGCTAGTTGGTGATATTGAAACAAGCGAAGAGAACACGTTGGAAGATGAAGGACCAAACTGAGTGCTGTTCAATCCGCCAGCTGGCGATGTCGAAACTGGCGAAGAGAACGCGCTGGAGGACGCGGTCCCAGACGGACTGCTACTCGATGCCCCTGATGATGATACCGGACCCGGAGAAGAGGGCGCACTTGAGAGCGAACTTAAAGATAGACTGCTGCTCGACCCTCCAGACGGTGATACCGAAGCCGGAGAAGAAATTACGCTTGAGAACGAGCTTCCAGAAAGACTACTGCTCGTTCCGAGAGACGATGATGTCGGAGACGGCGAAGAGGCCGAGCTTGGAGAGATTGCCACTGAAAGGGTAGTGGGAGTAGTCGTTGGAACTGATGATGGGGATCCTGAGACGCTGCCTGAAGTCGTTGCGGATACAGAAGCGGGACTAGTGCCGCTAGTTGTTCCGAGATTCAATGACGTTGGAGACGGCGAAGAGGCCGCGCTTGAAGAGATTACCACCGAAAAGGTAGTAGGAATAGTCGTTGGGACTGACAACGGAGACTCCGATGCGCTACCGTTCGATGATGGTGATCCCGAAGAAGCAGTAGACGATAAGACGGAGGAGCCGGCAGTGAAACTCGTACTAGAGGCGTTACTGAAGATTCCCGATACTGAAATTGATACTGAAGAAGAGGAACCGGTACTGGCACTCGTAAAAGAAAAATTGCTAAGGGTCTCCGACACCGTAATTGATATTGACGAAGAGCTCGAAGGAAGTAGATATGCTACGCATGTTCCTGGGGCGGACACCAATTCCGGCTGTACATCGAGGACGATGAAGAAGCACTGTACCGTCGCTTGGTAATATACCGCCTCATCACAATCGGAATTTAATTCACAATTCTGGACGCACTGGGTAAACGATAACCCGTTGTGGGCCGAGCTTTCTGGATCTCCTGAGTACAGTTCATCGCAAATAACTTGATATGTGTGGCGTGCGGAGGTCATGGTAGTTCCGCAAATCCCGTAGCATACTGCCGCAGATGGTGTTGCAGAGAGCGCACTCGACGAGATGGTCTGGGATAGACTGCTTGTTGCTGATGTGACACTAGGTGATGAAATACCGGTACTCGGTTGTGTAGCCGCTGATGAAGAGAGTGTTACACCGGACAGACTGCTGGACGCTCCGTGTGTTGATGTTGGAGATGACGTAGATATATTCTGTGAGAAACTGCTTGTTGCTGATGTAATGCTTGGCGATGAAACACCTGTACTCGATCCAGTGCTTGCTAAGGAAGAAATTGTAGTATTTGACGAGTTGCTAGGTCCTCCAGACGTCAAGGTGGGCTCTGATACGATATTGGTCGTACTAGTCAAAGTAAGTGACGAGAGCGCTGAGGAGTTGCCAGTATTCGACGCGGTACTCAGAGATGGGCCACTACTGGAAGAGGAATTTCCTGGGCTAGAGGTAGAACTCGGTGCTGAGATAGTACCGCCGAATGACGAAGATGCGGTAGATGATTGGCTACTTGGGGACGAGAGAGAAGCTTCGGAAGAGCCCATAGTTGAGCTTGGCGCGGCGTTTAGAGAAGAGCTATTGCTGGACGGTGAAGATCCTGGACCCGATAGACTGCTTGATGATGAAGTACTGAGAGATTCAAAGGCCGAAGCTGCTGGAGAAAGCGTCTCCGAAGTAGTTACCCCAGAGGAGTTAGAGGAGCCAGAGAAAAATTATGAGGCTGGAACTAGACGGCGTAGAGCTTGGCGGCGACGTTGGCACTAGTGAAGTAGAACTAGACAAATTGAGAGTGGAAGAAAGCACGCTGAACGACCCTGGAGAGCTAGTGGGTGGTATAATCAACGAAGGCGAGCTAGGGGCTGTCGAGAGGCTGCCAGTGATGGAGAAGTTGCTACTCACTCCGGTCATCGAAGATGAAGAACTTATTGATGAATTACCCATCGTAGTGGTAAAAGATGGCAAAGATGCTGATTGGGAGACGCCGTTGGTGCTGCTAGAAACCGTGAGAGTAAGATTGGTTCCAGAAGTAGATAGAGATAGGCTCGGGGAAAAGGGGCTTAACGCAGAAGAACTCGAGGGAAGACGGTAAGCTGCACAAAGTCCTTGCACGGTGGCCAGCTGGGCGTTTGCCGCGGGATCCAAGTGATAACAGTGAGAAGGATCTCCACCTGGGACCGCTGCATACCACAATACCTCGCCGCAAGCGACATCGTAATCACAGTCCTGAATACACTCGGTAAATGACAAGCTATACAAAGACGATTCTTCTATGGCTTGATACCAAGCATCGCATAGAATTTGATAGGTGCCACTGCCGGAAGCGAATGTAGTGTTGCACAGGCCAGCCCACGCTGCAGGCGACGAAGTGAAAGCGAGCGCGCTTGAAGTAGTAGCTGTCCCTGACAGTCCTCTAGTGGTGTTTGTGGTAGTCGGCGATGAGATACCTGAGCTTGAGCCGGCCGTCAAGCTTGACGACGACGTTGTGGCGGATGGACTACTGCTGACTGATAGTGGCGTAGTTTGACTCGTCGAAAACGACGAAGAAGACACCGCACCGCTACTAGAGTTTGAGAGGCTTGCGTTACTACTCGATGCTGGAAGGCTAGATTCAATCGATGATCCAGAGGAGAACGGGCTCGCAGAAGATATGCTGCTACTAGGTTGCGTTTCGGATTGATTCGATGATACCGAGCCTGATGCGACACTACTGCTACCACTACTGACTAAACTAGAAGCCGTAGGTATACTTTGTGTGCTGTTTAGGAGTATTGAACTGACTATCGAAGACGCATTAGACGATGGTGATACCACGGCAGTCTCGATGACGACGGATGCCGAAGTAATTGAGACACTACTTTCCGAGCTGCTCAAAAGTGGAGAAATGACTATCCAAGAGACACTAGACGATGGCAATACCGTGGGACTTTCACTAACGGAAACCGAAGTGTTTGAGGCACTTTCTGAGCTGCTCAAGAGCGGTGAACTAGCCGACGAGGATACGATGGACGACGTGGGCACCACGCTGCTCTCACTCAGAACGGGTGCCGAAGTGACCGAGATGTTCTGTGGGCTGCTCGACAGCGGCGAACTGACTGTCGAGAACACGCTGGACGATAGTGATGCCGTGGAACTCTCGCCGACAGCGCACTCCGAAGTGACCGAGGCGCTTTGTGTGCTGCTCAAAATTGGGGAGCTGGCCAAGGGCACGCTCGACGATAGTGATACCACGCTGCTGTTATTGACAACGGGCGTAGAAGTGAGCGAGATACTTTCCGAGTTCGAGGGTGCAAGTGAGCTGGCAAGCGAGCTTGAAGAAGAAGTCAACGAACGCGAAACCCAAACCGCAGCACATGTGCCAGGAGAATTGATAGATACGGAGCCGGAAATTGTGACTTCTATCAAGTAGCAGATGCTTGGCGATCCTGGAATGAACCACGCCTCATTGCAATTGCTAGAACCTTCACACGCATCTACGCACTGCGAAAGTGATTAGGCGGAGCTGTCAGCACTATACTGCGCGTCATCGCCATATAGATATGTACCGCAGTATACTTGATAGGTATCGCCTGAGGAGACCAGATTACTACCATCTTCCACTCCACAGCACATTGCTGCAGATGGAGTAGAAGATATTGAGCTAATTGTTGTGCTTCCTGAGAGGTTGCTTGTACTAGCGGATGTTCCGGAAATACTCAGTTCTAAAGAAGTGGGTCCGGTCGATGGACTTGACATAGATGGGCTTGAATAAGACGTGCTGCTGCCAGATTGCGTGAGAGATGGAGCAGACGATGATTCGATTGACGACGATTGAGTTGATAACGAGGATGGGCTCGAAGTCGTTGTGCTGTTGCCAGATTGTGTGACAGATGGAACCGGGGAGGATTCGATTGACCACGACTGAGTTGAAGATAAGAACAGGCTCGGAGTCGACGTGCTGTCGCGAGATGGTGCGAAAGCTTGAGCCGACGAGGACTCGATTGACGACGATGGTTCGATTGACGACGTTTCAGTCGACGGCGAGACACTTGATGCTCCGCTCGAGGGTGTATTGGATAATGACGCCGATCCTGACGACGGCACCACGCTGCTCTCTACAGATACAGATCCCAAAGTAGACGAAACATTCTCTGAACTAGAGAAAGCAGTGGAGGTGACCGTCAAGCTTGCCGAAGAAGATAAGGAGCTCGGGAGTCGTACAGCTGCACATGAATCAGGGTATTCGAAAGTAACAAGATTGGGGTATATGAGCTATATATGATAGCAGGTTCCCAATGGCGATCCGGGGATAAACCACGCTTCATCACAAGTGCTAAGGTCTTCACATGAACCCACACAATCTGCGAATGACGGGGCAACGGTAGTGTTGTACTGTGAGTTGCTTGAGAAGAGGTAACTGTTACAGTAGACTTTATACGAGTCTCCTGAAGACGCAAGCGTACCGCCTTCCGCCACTCCACAGCATGTCGCTACATATGAGGTTGAAGAGGGTGAGCTCGATGTCGAGCTTCCTAGAATATTGGTCGCCACGCTTGAAGTCTCAGAGCTGCTGGGCTAGATTGTTGAGATCAATGGGGAAGATGAAGGACAAGAACTGGCATTTTCTACGGAAGAAGAAAAGGTTGAAGACGTCACGGATGACGATGAAATGGAGATATTTAGGCTACTGCCCGTGGTCGATGAATCTGTTGCGGTGGCTGCTATAGTAGAGCTTGATATCGACGGTCCGGGAGAAGCGAAACTTGATGTGGAGAGTGTAAGACTTGAGCTACTTTGCGATTGAAACTGCTCAGGAATACTTGATGTCTCAGAAGCGGAGTACGGAGAAGATAGTGATGATGACGGTACCAGGCTCACGGAACTCGATTCTGAGGATACTGCAACGCTCGAATTGCTCGGGAGGGATACCGTCGGTTCGGATGACTGGATCAGACTTTGGTAAGTTGGTGATGGGCTAGTCACAGCTGGAATAGAAGGGCTCGAAGTCACAGTGTCGATACTCGAAGCCGCCGAAGACGACGTCAAAGACTCTGACAATGTCTCCGAAAGAGAAGTCGAAAGTAGGCCGCTGCTCGACTCGACGGAAGATGGCGGGGGGTTTAAGGAACTATAACTTGTCGATTCCGCTGACGATGTCAGAGATTGTAATAATGACCCCGAGAGAGAAGTAGAAAGTGAACCAGTGCTCGACGCGACTGAAGATGGCAGGGAATTCAATGAGCTATAAATTGTGGATTCCATTAACGACGTTAGAGACTGTGATAATGATTGCGAAAGAGACGTCGAAGATGGGCCGGTGCTTGACGCAACCGAAGATGGCAGGGAGCTCGAGAAGTTATAGCTTGTAGATTCCGCCGACGAACCCGAGAGCCCTGGGCTCGTCGAAGGCACCAAGGATGTCGACGAAAATGCACTAGATAATACCGAAGGCTTGTACGCCACACACACATTTGAGTCTGGGTAAGGGTATGCGTCCCCAGTAGATCCGAAGCAAGCTTTGTTCGATTGGAACCAAATTGCGTTGTCGCAATAGGATAAGTCATTGCATGTATGAATGCAGTCTTCGTACGTACCGCCTGACATGTACGAGATATTCGATCCTCGGATAATGCCACAGCTCTGTTGATACACGTCGACATCATCCGTAATAGTTGCACCGTTAGCATAACCGCAGCAAAGAGAACTGGTGGGAGAAGGCGAAGAAGTCGACGATCTAGAGTGACTTGGCCCCACTTGCAGTCCTCCGCATGCATCGGAATCATAAAGAGGAGGGTCTCCAAATACGGTATTCAAAAATTGACAGTAACCTTGTATTTTGCTTGCGTCGGGCGGATAGTAAGCCACGTCGTTGCAGTTTGTTTGATCGTCGCAAGCATTCATACAGTCCTCAAATGTGGGCTCGATATACCATCTCTCGTTCATGCCCTGGTATTGACCGCACTGGACTTGGTAGATGCTTCCCGTGGAATAATACGTTGTACCGTTCGCCCTCCCGCAGCAGATAGAACCGGCAGGGCTTGCGCTCGGGAAACTCGAGCTGATGGACGAGGAGATGTCAGGGCTGGCGATCGCTGAACTCGAAACCGTAGACGAAGTGAGGCTTAAATTTGCGATTGGAGAACTCGAGCCAGTGGAGGAGAATAGGTCGGGGCTCTCGACCGGGGAACTTGAAATTGTGGACGAAGACAGGCTTGGGCTTGCGATCGAAGAGCTTGAAACTGCCGATGATGAGAAGTCAATGCTGCTAGAACTAGATGTGACGCTCGGACTCTGAACCAAGGCGTCACAGGTTCCTATTTCAGTTTGAGGGGTTCCTCCAACAGCTCCCTGCTTGAGATAGCACGTGGAGCCGCTCGTATAAGAAAGATCTGTACATCCCGAAGCATTTGCGCATCTTGTCATGCAGTCCACAATTGAGCCGCCAAAGCTTGGGTCGCCAAGATTGTTGAATGTTTTGATCACATCATATTGGACCAGGAAAGGGGTATTCTCCAGGATTATTGTTGTTGTGTAGTTGGCGATTCCGCCACAGATGCTTGAAGGCGTAGGAGATGGTGTTGACAAGATCGATGATGAAATTGAAGAGATTGATTCTGCCACCGTCGAAGATGTTGAGGATGAGGAAACATAACTCAAACTAATGTCCGCTTGAGATGATGGAGACGGACTCAGTGCCGAGGGCGTAGTTTCGAAGATTGTTGAGGACGCGCTCGGACTTTGAGGGCTCGACAAGGTGGATGTTTGGCTAGTCGATTCTAAGGACGACGATACTCAGAGGACTCGAAGGCTCAGATGACACAGACGGCTGACTGGGGCTGACCGGAGGAGGCGACGTCGGAGATTCCGAGGGCAGTGATACTGATTCGGAGGACAGCGAGGACAGTAACACAGCCGACGACGAGATCGAGGCTGCCGTAGTTTCAGTCTCAGACAAGGAGCTGGTAGTGCTTGATCCGGAGGAGCTACCCGACCCCTCAAGTGCCGACGTTACGGATGCAGAAGAGATCGAGTTAGGTAGACGATACCTAGCGCACCAGGAGCCAATGCCCTGCAGTGTCTGTGGGCTTTCAATCTGATACAAAAGGCAGTATGTAGTCCCGACTGAACCGTCACTATCTGGGTAATACGCTATCTCGTCGCAAGTGGAACTCAGGTTGCAATTCTGAGCACAGTCCGAGAATGTAATACCGGCAATGTAATTTCCTATCGGGTTTGCTGCGTAGTAAAAGCCACAAAGGATTTGATATGTGCTGTCCCCAAATATCGTAGTACTGCCGCCTTGTCCACATGCACAGGGAGTGGTGGATGAAGTTGTCGCGGACAATGAAGACGAAGTCCCGGATATGCCACTCGTCGTGCTTGTGATTCCAGTCTCGGATAGACTACTAGGTGACGATGGCGCTGAAGACAGCGTGGAGGATTGCGCCAACATGCTACTTGCGCTAACGATGCTACCAGTCCTAGATATGGTATCTGTAGTGCTTGTGACGAGGCTGGAATCGGACAGACTATTTAGTGATGATAAGGGTGTCGAATATAACGTTGGGGAACTCGATACTACCGAACTTGATGGCCCGGCTATAACTACTGCGTCGCATGTTCCAGTCTCAGATGATGTGGTTCCTAGACTGCCTTTAAGGTAGCACGTTCCTCCTAGCGTGTACGATAGGTCCAAGCAGAGTGCGTTATTTGCGCAGGCCAACAAACAGTCATTAAAGCTTCCATCGAAAATTGGACTTCCGAGATTGTCATTGGATTTAACAGCGTTTGCTTCGATGAGGAACTGCACCCCGCCAACAGTTGCAGTGGAGTAGTTGGCGAAACCGTAACAGTCGGCAGACGAGGAGGGACTGGGACTCGAAATGCTTGGCGAGCTGCTGATGCTTAAGGAACCAAACTCACTCGACGCACTAGGCAATGAGGGTGACGAGGATGCAACTGGAGGAGAAGCAGATGAGATAAGTATTGCGGATGACGATGGGGTTGATAGTGGACCAGCACTAGATGATTGTGTGATAAGCATGGCATCGCATATTGCTGGTTCCGACGTCGTAGGTCCAATATCCTGCTTAAGATAACATGTGCCGCCATTAGTATAAGATGAATCAACACAAGCCAGCTGTGATACGCAACTATCGATACATTGCGTAAAGTTCAGGTTGAATAGAGGGTTGCCGAGATTATTGGTAGATCTCGTGACATCCGCGGTAATGATGAAGGCGAGGCTCCCACTCGTGTATGTTGAGCCGCTGAGTCCATAGCAAGGATTGGAAGGCGATGGTGCGGGGAAAGATGATGCCAAGCTCGAGGTTCCAGATAGCGAGAGAGAAGCTTGTGTACTTGAGCTTGTTGTGGATGACACTAGAGAAGATTCCACTGTGGAGGTCGCAGATATTGAAAGGGAACCTGAGGAGCTCAAACTTGGCGATGAAGTCGAGACCGCTGACGAAGTAGACACATCAGGCGTTGACGTAGAGGGTTGCGTCCAAGACGCACTGGTGCTACCAGACTGCGAGATAAGCAGTGCATCGCAGGTCCCTGATTGAGGCGTTATGTCCCCAACGCTCTTCTTGAGGAAACATGGTCCATTGCTCAAAAAAGACATATCTACGCAACCTGGGGTCGCCACGCATTCTTCTAGACATTGCGTGAAGTTGATGTTGTAAAGCGGGCCACTGAGATTGTCGTTTGACTTGTACACATCTGCTGAAATAAGGAAATCTTGGTCAGCGATGGTGACAATAGTGTTGTTCGCTAAACCGTAGCAGGGCAGTGAAGGCGATGGTGAAGGAGCTGATGAGCTTGCACTTGAAGTCTGAGCAGACGAGGTTGCGACGGATGACGAGCCCGGCTCCGAAGACAGCGGAAAAGATAACACTAGATATGTAGAGGGAAGCTCTGACGATGAAGCAATCGAGATTGTCACGGACGATGACCCAGGCTCCGACGATGGCGAAGTCAACGCTGGAGATGAAGAGGGTAACTCGGACGATGAAGCAGTCGAGGTTGTCAAGGAATATGACCCAGGCTCATAAAAAGGGGAGGATGATACCGTTGGAGATGGCGAGGGTGTCTCGGAGGACGCAGCAGTCGAGGTTGTGAGAGACGATGACCCAGGCACCGAAGATGGTGCAGATGATGCCGTGGGAGTTGACAAGGGGAACTCGGACGACGGAGCAGTCGATGTCGCCAGGGAAGAATAAGTAGGCGCCGGCGACTGCGAGGAAGAGAGCGTGGAAGATGAGGAAGAACTCTGTGCCAAAAGTACCGCATCACATGTCCCTAATTCAGCCGTAGTAGTTCCACCAGATCTCTTGAGGAAGCAAGGCCCACGATTCGAAAAGGACAGATCAACACATTCCGGATTTGCCGCACAGGTTGCAATACAATCCGTGAAATTCAAGTTGTAAAGAGGGCCTGCAAGGTTGACGTTTGACTTGCAGACATCAGCTGAGATAAGGAACGATTTCCCTCCGGTCGTATATGTAGAGCCATCCCCTAGTCCATAGCAGGCCGCAGATGGAGACGGCGTGGATGCAGACGAAGAAGATGAAGAGCTGGGCACAGCAGACGGCGAGGAGGATGGCAGAGATGAAGAGAATGACATTGACGATAGCACGGTAGAGGTAGACTGCGTAGAGGACAACTCTATAGATGAGGAGACTGGCGTCGACGATGATACCGTAGAGGTAGACTGTGAGGTAAGCATAGCATCACATGTACCCGGCTGGCTCGTGGTCGTTCCCACCGACTTCTGAAGAAAGCAAGGCCCGTTCGTCGAATAGGAGAGGTCAACGCAATCCGGACGTGCCGCGCAAGCTGCGATACATTCTATGAAGTTCATGTTGTAGAGAGGGCCAGCGATGTTGTCATTTGATTTGGAGACATCGACTGCAATAAGGAACGCCTTGTCTTCGACTTCGTACGTCGATCCATCGCCTAGGCCATAGCAGGCGGCTGAAGGAGATGGTGTAGAAGCAATGGAGGATGTTGGGCTGGAGACCGCTAGACTTGATGAAGGCGATGAAAAAGATTCCGTGATGCTTGAAAGAGCTGATGATGAGCCCGAAGCAGAGGCCGATGGGCTGGACGATGGGCGGGACAGTGGTGTGCTGGGTGACTCTGAGCTTGACGCGGACGAACTTTGATCTACGGGGGATGAAGTAGGCAGGAAAGAGCCGGATGGTACTGAGCTTGATACTGCGAGGCTTTCAGTGACAGAAGACGACAGAACTAGAGAGCTGGGAGAAGATGACGAAACATCGATTGAACTTGAGGGCGGACTGGAAGTCGCCACGCTCGAGGTGCTCAATGGTGGACCAGGAATGCCATATGCCGCGCAATAACCTGGCTCATCCTGTATTGGGTACGATCCGGCTGTTATCAAGTAACAATAGCCAGGCGCAGTGGGAAGGTACAGTGCCTCAGTGCACTCAGAATTGTCGTCGCAGTTTTGGACACACTGTGCAATGTCAATACCAGAGATCGCGGTGCTGTTGCTTGCTTCAGACCCTGGGTACCAGGCTCCGCAAACGAGTTGATAGTAACCGCCACCAGATGTCACAAAAGTGTATCCCTCAGTTTGGCCACAGCATGCTGCGGCAGAGGATGACGAGGAAAGAGATGATGTGGTCCCCGAAGCGGCTAAAGAAGATGAAGCTGTAGGTCCAGATGAGCTTGTGGTCGAGAGGACTCCTTGTCTCAAAGCCCCGCACTCTCCAGGCTCCGAGACGACATCTCCTACCATGCCCTTGAGGAACCAATCGTTCGAGGAAGGATGGAAAGACAAGTCAAGACAAGTATTATTCGCTGCACAATTAGATACGCACGTGTCAAAGTCCACGCCTCGGTAAGTCGCAATATCGCCGTTGACATGGTTGATATCGCATTCTACAGTAAAAGTAACACCGTTGTTGGTGAGGGTCGTTTGGTTCTGGTAGCCGCAACAGTATCCAGATGGAGTCGGGCTTGCGGACAAGGTTGATGTTGAGGCTGTCGGACTTCCTCCGGACAAAAGACCGTCACAAGTTCCGGATTCCGTGGATGCAGTTCCTACTGAGCTCTTCAAGTAGCAGGTCCCTCCGCCGGTATACCGACATCAACACAGGACGAGTTTCCTGAGCACCTAGTCAGGCAGTCGTTGAAGGTACCACCGAAGAACGGGCCATCAAGAAGACCACCAAAGTGGGTGGTATCGACTGAAATAGTAAAGTTTTTGCCGCCAATAGTCGCTGTAGTTCTATTCGCATATCCGCCGCAGGACGGCTGAGTGGTTGGAGATGAAGAAGACGATGTTGCTGACGTTGAGGTTGAGGCTGTCGGGCTTCCTCCGGACAAGAGGCCGTCGCAGGTTCCTGATTCCGTGGACGCTGTTCCGACTGAACTCTTCAAGGAACATATCCCTGAATCAGTGTAGCTGGTATAGCTAACGTCAACGCAAGACGAGTTCCCGGCACAGGCTGTCAGGCAACCACCAAAAGTCCCACCATATATGGGGTCCCCAAGGTTGCCACCGAAATGCGTGATGCCGACTTGGACGGTGAAGCTCTTGCCGCCTATTATCGCCGTAATTCCATTCGCATATCCAACGCAAGTTGGTGAAGCACTTGGAGAGGGGGAAGAGGATGTTGTTGTCGTTGAAGTTGAGAAGGTAGGGCTTCGTCCTGATAAGAGGCCGTCACATGTTCCTATCTCCGCGTTTGCATTACCAACAGAACTTTTCAAGTAACAAACCCCTGTGTCAGTGTAGCGAGTGTAGCTAACGTCAACGCAAGAGGAATTCCCCGCGCAGGCCGTGAGACAATCGACAAAGGTTCCCCCGTAGATGGGATCTCCCAAGTTGCCACCAAAATGCGTAACGCCGACTTATATGGTAAAGGTTTGGCCACTTATGACTGTCGTAGTCCCGTTTGCGTATCCGCCGCAAGTGGGTGGAGCGCTTGGAGAAGGAGACGACGTTGAAGATGAAGTCGAAGATGACGGTGCCGGGACTGGTAAGAGACCGTCACAGCTTCCTGCCTCAGCATAGGCATCGCCCACGGAACTCTTCAAGTAGCAAGTCCCACCGCTTGTGTAGGTGACATCAACACAACTGGAATTCTCCGCACAAGCCGTTAGACAATCGCTGAAAGTACCACCAAAGAAGGGACCTGCCAGATTACCACCAAAATGCGTAATACCCAATTGAACCAAAAACGATTTCCCGCCCATAGTAGCGGTAGATCCGTTTGCATAGCCGTAGCAATCCGTCATGCTTGGAGAAGGTACCGGGGAAGAGGTAGTCGTGGAACTTGACGTCGTAGGCACTGGCAATATCCCATCACAGGTAACAGCTTCGGCATAAGCGTTTCCTACCGAGCTCTTGAGATAACAAGTTCCTCCTCTTGTGTAAGATACGTCTACACAGCTAGAGTTTCCCGCACAGGTGTTGAGGCAGTCGATAAAAGTCAAACCGAAAAGTGGGTCTCCGAGATTTCCATCAAAGTGCGTAGTTCCTAAACTTATGAGGAAGGCTTTACCACCTATAGTAGCTGTAGACCCATTTGCATACCCATAACAATCCGTCATACTTGGAGACGGAAACGGGGAGGTTGTCGTTGAACTCGATGCCATTAGGATCGGCAAGAGGCCATCGCAAGTACCCGCTTCAGCAAAGGCGGTCCCTACCGAGCCTTTCAAGTAACACGTGTCTCCAATGGTGTATGATACATCTACACAGCTCGAGTTCGATGCGCAAATGGCCAAGCAATCGCTGAAAGCAAGATTGAAAATCGGGTCTCCCAGATTTCCGCCGAAGTGCGAGATTCCTGTTTGGATGAAGAATTGCTTCCCTCCAATGGTCGCCGTAGATCCATTCACGTAACCGCCGCAAGCCTGGATGCTTGGGGATGGGAAGGAACTCGATGTTGCCATTGTTGAGGTTGGACTGCTGGGAAGGAGGCCATCACAGCTACCTGGATCCGAGACTGCGTTTCCCACGGAGCTTTTCATATAACAGGTCCCACCTGAAGTGTACGTAATGTCTACGCAGCTAGAATTACCCGTACAAGCTGCTAGGCAGTCGCTAAATGCCAGATTGAAGATGGGGTCACCTAGGTTCCCTCCGAAGTGACTGATTCCGGACTGGATTAAAAATGACTTCCCGCTGATAACCGCAATATAGCCATTCACATAACCATAGCATGAAGATGGGGACGGCGACGCTGTAGCTGAAGGAGATACGGTTGAAGTGCTGGAAGGCAAAGATTGGGGGTACAGTCCATCACAGGTTCCAGCCTCGTACACCCGACTACCGACCGAGCTCTTCGAATAGCAAGTTCCTCCGCTGGTATACGAGGCATCAACACAGAGAGAGTTTGTGGCGCAACGCGCTAGACAGCTAGTGAAGTTGAGATTGTAAACTGGTCCCTCGAGATTTCCACCATTATAAGTGAGATCTGACTCGACGAAGAATAGTATGCCGGCTACTGTGGCTGTGGAGGCGTTTGCATAGCCATAGCAAGGAGACGAAAGGGAAGCTATAGCTGACGACGATATAGTCGAAGATATGCTATTGGTTGATGAGGAGCTTGATGCAATTGAAGTCACTAAGGCATCGCAAGTCCCGGTCTAGTACGCTGGATTGGTTCCAGCGACGCCCTGGTTCAAAAAGCAGGTACCTCCACTGGTATATGCAGTATCTGTGCACCCCTGAGTGGTCGCACAGGTTGTCATGCATTGCGTGAAATTGAGATTGTAGAGAGGTCCAGCGAGCATGTTATTTGAATTGACGGTATAAGTTTGAACCAGGAAGGTCACTCCGTTGATGGTAGCTGTCGTACCATTTGCGTATCCATAACAACCCGCGGACGCGGATGGAGATGGTGAAGCGAGGGTCGATGAACCAGGCGTCGGGGAACTAGAAATGGTCGTCGACGTTATTACAGGCCTCACGGACACCAGGGCGTCACAAATCCCGGCCTCATATGCCGGATTTGTCCCTGCAACTCCCTGTTTTAGATAGCAAGTGCCGCCACTGGTATACGAGAGATCTGTACATGTCGAGTTCGACGCGCAGGCCGTGATGCATTGCGTGAAATTTAGATTGAAGAGTGGGTCTCTAAGGTTGTTATTGGCATTCCTGGTATTTGAATTGATAATGAATGTGACGCCGCTGACTGTGGTTGTTGCAGAGTCCGTGTATCCATAACAAGAAGCGGATGGCGATGGCGATAGCGATGGCGATAGCGATGAAGCGATCAACAGTGGCGATGACAGTGAGCTGGATGATATTGAATTTGAAGTGGACGAGCTGGACAATGATAGCGATGAAGATACTAAGAGAGAAGGCGAAAGTGAGGTGGATGTTAGCAAGTTTGAACTAGACGAGCTTAGTGATATTGAGCTTGAAGAGGACGAGCTGGATGTTGTCAAGCTTGAAGAGGGCGAGCTGGATGCTGTCGAGCTTGACAAGGGCGAGCTAGATGCTATCGAGCTTGAAGTAGATGACGACCGCGATGACGATGGAGAGGCCGAGAGCGAAGACGAAATTGAGCTGGTTGTCGACAAACCTGAGCTTGAAGCGGACGAGCTACATGAGATTGCACTCCCAATAACTAAAGCATCGCATGTACCGCTTTCTGAGCTTTTGGTTCCTACACTCTGTTTGAGATAACAGGTCCCGTCGCTGAATATGAAAGTTAGTAAATATCCGCAGATTTAATGATTCCGCCCATACCTTGTATATGCAAGATCGACACAAGCCGCGTTAGCTGTACAATTGCTGGCAGCTGGTGAAAAGTGATGAGAACTCTTATATATTGCTATGTAGGAGGATGGGTATATATAGGCGTAGAGGCGCCAAGCCAGCTAAGAGAAGGAACCCTGTTGAGCTGAAAGGTGACGCATGCAAGCTGAGGAATGGCGCTAAGGATGCGCTAGTACAGTAGCGTATGGACGGCTGCCAATTGCCCAGACAGTCCAGAAAAGAGCCTCTGAATATGGGGTTGGCCAGATTATTATTTGACTTCGTAACGCCATATTCAATATAAAAAGTCACCCCGTTGACTGTGGTTGTTGTACCTCTCGAGTAGCCATAACAAGTTGGCCGGGCTGTAGACGTCGATGACGATATCGCCGAAATAGTAGAAGAGCTAGAGCTCGTTGAAGGTGCTGATGTTGCAGACGGGGACGAGGATGGAGATACTGAGGCAACGGCATTAGAGCTGGATCCTCCCAGAAGAAGCGTCAAAACGCCGATGAGTACGCCACCCAATCCAATAGTGGAAGGACTCGGAGGATTCGAGTATAGATTGCAGGTTGAAGTCGTAGCATTATAAACTGCCGATTGACATGCGTTGTTACCAAAGCCCGCACAGACGCCCAGGCACACTTGAAGCGATAAAACTGCTGAGACGCTTGAAAGAAGAGTTCCCGGGGTGGCGGTATTGCACAGAACGGTGTAATTCTGGCCATTGCTCACGTACGTCGTGCCATTGGAGGCTGGGCAAGTGAGGACAGTAGCTGTAGGAGATGTTGATGAAATTGTGCTGGAAGATATTGATGAAACTATACTGGGAGATGTCGTAGAAGATGCATGGGAGCTTGCAGATCCGCTGGCACTTCCGCTCGAGCCCAGAAGGGAACTCAAGACTCCAGTCAGGACGTTACCCACTCCAGATAATAAAGAAGTTGACGTTCCCGATACTGAGCGTCTCAGTGTACAGAGTTGGCTCGTCGCGTTATATGAGGCAGTACCACATCCACCACTCGAATCTGAGAAGCTTGAGCAGTAATTGACGCATGTTGCCAAGTCTGCACAGCTATTGACGGTGCTAACGACAGTTTCTCCAGAACTATCCGTGCCGCATAGAACGGTGTATTGTTGACCATTACTCGTGTACGTTGTGCCGTTGGCGCTCGGGCACACTAATGCGGTTGCTGAGGGAGACGGTGACGCGGACGCAACTGAGGGGCTGGAGCTGCTTCCACTTGAGCCTCCTAAAAGACCGCTCAAGACCCCGGTCAATAGATCAGCTGTGCCGCCTACCAGACCCGTTCCAGAGCTTACTGCAGCTCTCAGTGTACAAGTTAGAGTTGTCGAGTCGAATGTGGACGAGGCGCATTGGCCGTTCGCGTAGCCGGCGCAATAGTTCAGGCATGTTGTAAGGTCTGCACAGCTATTGACAGTACCTAGAACAGTCCCTCCAGTGTTCGTGCTACACAAGACCGTGTACGTTCGTCCATAACTGGTGTACGTTGTTCCATTAGCAGACGGACAACTCAGAGCAGTCGACGATGGCGATGTTGACAAGCTCGTGCTAGAGAGAACAGTGCTACTTGAAGGTTGTGAAGAAGTTGAGGCTCCCGCAGAACTTGAGGTCGCCACTGAAGCTCTCGATGAACCAGAGATCCCTGCGGAACTCGTAGAAAAGGTGGAACTAGAGGCTACCGATGCGCTTGAGGTCGCAATAGAGGACACCAGTGAGTTAATGACCACTGTGGAGCTTTGAGTCGACGTAGCACTTATAGGCAATGCCGAACTGGAAGTCGTCAATGTACTTAAGGTCGTCGTTGAGGCTGTAGACGACGAAAAGCCTCCAAATCCTCCGAAGCTGAAGCTGGGAAATGAAAAACTTGCAAAGCTGAATGTGAAGATAGAGCTAGAGACCACTGAAGTGCTTGTAGAGACCGAACTAATGATCGTAACCGAAATCGAGGATACGCTCGACGTTGTTGTGGCAAAAGCGACGCTCGACGTGGATGTTGCAACGGTGGTCGTGGATGAGGAAGACCGAGACGAGGAAAGCACTGTAGCAGAGCTCGTAACAGCCGGCGAGCTCGTCGTTAGCGCTGTCGATGAAGACGTAGCCACTGAAGGGGCCGGCGTCCGTACGGCATCCCAAACCGTAGGATTATAAGTACCAATATTGGCGAGTGACTTGACATAGCACTCGGCAGGCCCCTGAGAGTGGAGTGGGATGTATCCGACATCTTGGCAGTTGCTTAGAGAATTGCAGTAGCCAATGCAGGCGTCGAACGAGCCAGAGTAAGGCGAATAAAGGGGCCCGGCAATATTCGCGTCATACCTATCAAGGTAACGGGTGATAAGGTAGTAATATGTTCCTATCTGAACGATATGGCCATCATTTGCTGGACAGCTGATAGTAGTTGAGGGTGAAGCTACAACAACAACGGTGGTTGAAGGCGTTTGGGTGGTGGTCGTTGCCACCAGTACCGCTGATGATAAGGACGAGGATGATGATGATACAACTCTTGTATAGCGCACAGCACCGTGGACCGTAGCGACGTACGAGCCCGAATTGATCGCGCTTTTAGGGTAACATAGTGGAGGAATCCCAGTATTATAGCTGACGGCCACACAATTGGAGAGGGACGCGCAGTAATCAATACAAGAGTCCATAGTAGCGTATCCGTAGTAGGGGCCGCCAATGTTCGAATCATAGCGATCGTATGAACAGGCGATGAGGTATGATTACGATCCGGAAGTGTATATAGTGCCAGAGGCCCCGGGGTAGGTAATGGCACGTTCTGCCAATTGTCGCTCCGTCAAGATTTCTGGCACTGCTAATCCTTTACCCGCCAATGCAGGCACTGCTGCCGGTGCTCCATAAACGAGCGATATGAAGTGTAAGTGTACCAAAAGGATTGCGAAGCGCCTTTGCCAGCCGCTTCTGGCAGGGCTCACCATACTCACCTGGCTGGGCTCTGCCCAGAAAATACCGTCACGGATAACTCAAATAGCCGGTCGAAATAGGCAAATGAATAGTAGACCAGGGAACGAATGAGTGAAGAAGTCGACAGCAAGACGCGTCTTAGATGACTTTTCCAGAATTACGACTTGATCTCTCAATCCCGGAGGTACGTGGCGCGTCCATATTTTCGCGGTCTAGATGGAATGAAGATCTTTTAAGGCATATCTCCGCATGAGAATGCACCAACGGCCAGGTTGTGGTACATGAGGATCGCTTATATGGCAATTGAACGCGGCTGTCATGATTGAAAGATATACCTTTGTACTCAAAATGTTTGCAGACCCATGAACGCATATCAGAGAATCCAAATACTTTAAATCCAGGCGAAGCAGAATAAATATAAACCTACATAGCCTATATGTTGTGTGACGCCCACATGGTCGTGCTTGACGTGATGAAAATGCATAAACTTACGAAGGGAGGGTTAGTGGCGATTTTGCATCAAAGCAGCAGCATAGTCACCCGTGTCAGCTTGTCTAGACCTGGATGAGCTATTGCTTGGTGAAAAGCTGTTGATTTTGCAGTAATTCAAATGCTCCCGTCCCCACCGATCGCCCTTCTTTTCCTTGGGTTCTGCCGATGAAGCCGTTGTAAGGATCGGGCCTCTAACGTCTTCAGCAAGGGGGTTCTCTACATTCTTGATTTCAATTTCGTGCTGTCAACTCGCTTGCCCTCGTCAGCTTGCTCACGAACTGTGAGATCTGGAAACTTTGAGGGCATAATACGCCGAGGCGTGCTGCCGGGGACGACATTGTACTTGGAAAAGTCCGCAACGCCAGTTTTGCGGAGAAAATCCTCATCCAGCTCAAGGCAGCCGTTAACCGTTGACGGAGGCGCCCGCAACATGGCAAGGATCGCATCCGAGTATATAGTCGGTTTCCTTAGATCCCTCAGATTCTCCTGCTCCACATTCTCCGTGGCGGCGGACTGAATAGCGACTGCAGGCCAGATGCTAGTGATTGCCATATCAGTCTTGCCTTCCCGTTCGAAATCCACAGCCAGCCCCTTCGTAAGGACACTCATGCCAACCTTCCCCATCGCGTATGCCGTCTTTCCGCGGAAGAACCTCGAATAGATAGGAGGGCTGACGACGATTATCCGGCCCTTCCAGCCATTGCTCTTGAAATGCGGCAATGCAGCCTGAACAGTCCCGTATAGGCCCTCGATATTCACCCGCTGCATCAGCTGGAACCGCTTCATGGGTGTGTTCTCCACGCTCGCCCACCAAATCGCGCCGGAGTTGTAGATGAGAACGTCCAGACGGCCATAGATCTCGATTGTCCGTGCAACCAAGCTTTCCACGCTGGCAAAATCGCGTGTGTCTACCGCGACAGCTGTGGCGTCGCCTCCAGCTTCACGAATTTCGCGCTCGACCGTGCTGATTGTAGACTGAGGGGAATTGGGGTCCGGTGGGAATGGAGTCGTTTTGGAGGCGTCAGAGGTACTTTTCGCCGCGACAACCACTACGCGTCGAAGCGTTGTCAGCCGAGTATATAGGCGCAATGGAATGATATTCTCCGTGGTTAACAGACCTGCATAGCCGTTCTTCGCCAAATCAATGACAACCTGTCTCCCAATGCCTCTCGACGCCCCGACAATGAGTGCGACCTGTTTTACGGAAGCCATTGAGTCTTCTCTCCCTCGATGGGGCAAAACACAAGGGATAAACTGGGGATGCCTTTCGGGAACGATATGTTATGCGTGGTGGCAGAGACTCCAATATAAGACAGATGTCGTCGAAGCTTGCATCATCATCGCAGTGCACCCGCAATTCACGACAAAAGCTGATCTGACATGTGTGCCTCGGTCGTTCGAAGCTCACAATGTCGTTGGCTGGATCAGGACGTCAACATGTCAATATTGAAGGGAGAAGAGGGGGATTACTGATCGGACGTTGCGGTCTTGAAGCTGCCTCGAACTGAACCTCGGCCGGATCCATTCTTGGCAAGACGGCATCTAAGACACTTCTCCAACTCCCCTTTCGAAAATTTAGTCAACATACCCGTGGACTTTTAAGCCATTTTCGTTATCCAGAGAGGCTGGGATCTACCGAATCATATCGACCATGGGTGGAAAGATTGAGTGCTATCTTGACGTTGGTATGTTCATCCCATGAACTAAGCACCGTGCCGCAAATAGCTGATGTGGCCAAAGTCTCTCCATACTCTTATTATGCCCTGCTTTATTTAGAGAAGAACAGAGAGGTATTAAAGTCTCATGATGTGGATATTGAGTAGGTGTTTCTTATTCTCGTGCATTTGAGATATTCCGCGTTTCTTTCATTCATCGTCGTCACATGATACAAACCTGTTTCTCCGAACGTCTCTACTCGCAACGATTTCCCTCCTTAGATCGTATAGTTACTTATCTCGGTGGCTACCAAGCATGTCAAGTGTTCTGTTTATCTGCTTTCACATTTCCACGTTCGCGACGCATCTTCTTCTAAACAAATCCCAAATCATCACGTGATCACGCGTTTCAAACCCTTCATCCTTCTTCATGCTATAGCTGCAATACAGCCCAACTAACCTAATAGTAGAATCATTCCTGTCTTCCTCGGCGGCATTAACGTAGGGAGTGGGAACAAACCCCCTTGGACCCTCCCCGCCAAAGCAAAATACAGCACCTACGATTCCGAGCGTGCAAAGAAGTACTTCGGCGTGCCCGGTATCAAAACGCCTTCCTTCTTCCCAATCCTATCTCTCCCAGTACGTCATGCATGATGAGCCATTGAACTCCTACTTTAGCATGTATTCGCCCACTGACATCCTCCAGCCCCAACGTGCCCTAACATACATCCGCGCCCACCATGCTTCCCTCCTGATCCCCGCCTTCCTAACCCTCTTCTCTGCCATGTGGATCGACGGCCACGATATCAGCAAGCCAGATCTGCTAGCCCAGGCCTTGAGCGTCCATTTCTCCCCCAACGAGACTAAAGCGATCCTCGAAGGCGCGAGCCAGCAACAGTACAAACAAGAGCTTTCAGCCAAGACGCAGGAGGCTCTGGACCGCGGCGCATTTGGGTGTCCGTGGTTTTGGGTCACGAACGCGGCTGGGGTGGGGGAGCCGTTTTTCGGAAGCGACAGGTCAGTTCGCACCTTTTCAACGTCCATGTTGAGCTACGTGCTACAGAACGGGGTAGTAGTTCTAATGCTGATGTGATGTGAAGGTTCCACTTCATGTGGGAGTTCCTCGGCCTGCCGTGGAAGGCTGTGGAGCTGCTGCCTTCGGGGCAGGCGAAGGCCAAGATTTAGGTGTGGGAGGGAGGAGGGAGGCGGGAGGGTGCATGCAGGGAGGCGGGATGGCGTGCAGGATGCTGTGTGGGGACTCCGTTGGGGGAGAGAAAGAAGGACATCCTTGTAAATTATCTACTCTTCTGCCAATCCAGATCACCTGCAACGGCTGATCGTTTGTTCCGTCGTCAGAGCCACGTTATCCGCCCTCGAGTGAGCATCTTGTCCATCTTGCGAGCCGGGCCGAAAAGCTTAGACAGAAGCTGGGGGTCGAAACACGTCGCACGGGGCCGACCCAACATTTCTGCGGTTCCTGTTCCTCCCGTGAGAGGTTAGTTGTACCAGGTCACTGCAGAGGTCTTCGCGGTTCCAACAGTCGTCCTGCCATTGCAGATCTGTCGTGGCACTGACGCCGAAGCGAAGCAAACAAGCTCCCGCTGTCGGTACGCGGATGAGACTCCGCCACACGGTGGAGCGGGCTGCAGAACTGAGAACAAAGAAAAACGGGACTTAGTCCCAGGATGAAGCTTGTATGCCATGTGCTGTCACCCGGCATGCAGTGACTTGCATATGCATTGTCGTTGCTTTGAGGAGAAGGTTTATCACCCCAGTCCCTGCGTGTTAGAAGTTTATCTTGCAAAGCGTGAAGTCCTATGGGGTGGATCGGGCAAGCTGTGAATGCTAGTGTTGTTCTTGATTTGAAAGTGAATGGTCCCTTCGTCGAGTGTTACACGGCTGTGGATAGGGTCTTGCTGAAGACCCACAGTTGAGGACCTTGGTGAACGAAAGTCTTGCCAGCGCAGGACTCATGCCATTAGCTAGGCACTTACCTCACCACGCTAGGCGTGAAAAAAGCTGCACACTCATCAAGTGTTCTGTCTCGCATGTACACCTGTCTACCACTGTCCGGGGTGCTTCAACGAGCTTCCACAAAGTCCAAGGCCAAGGGGGTTCTATCTCGTTCAGATTCCTGAAGGTGCATTGAAGCGCCCCAGGCAGTGGCAGACAAGTGTATGCATGAGACAGCTTGCTGTAGAGCTAGAGTGCCACCTTTTCCATGCCCCGCGTGCTCACATGCTAGTTGCTTCTCCAATTCTGCAATAACGCCGATTAGATAGTGTAACCTATTTGTCACTATATAGCACTAGATGGCATAAGGCTGACACCATCAGCAGGGCAGATCTGGACTCCAACTTCCATACGCTTGTCTTTCGACGCTCCGCCATCTCGATCTGCCTACGCCTCTTGAGCATCCGGCAGTGGCTCCACGCTTGCGGCAGACGGCCGAAGGGGGCTACGTTGGACAGAGCCAGGAGAAGCGAGAGATAGCGCAAGAGGTCCGCACGACGAACGGTTGCGCACTCGCTCTAGGCCGGGAGAAGCTACCAGTTATGCACGTAGCCGACACCGATGTCTAAGGACATTAGCTCATCTCGTGAGTGGCCTTTGGAGTGTGTTGCGTAGAGAATGATTTTGGCAGTGGGTGCTTGACGATGTTATGTTTGCGTTGGAGGCAGATGACAGATAATGAGAACTGCCAGCACGTTGAGCTATTTTTTTTCTTGTTTTGACACTGTCCATAAAAGCTCAGCGAGATCAGATAGCAAGTCTGGAGCTTCCAGCCCAGGCTGTCAATGGCGAGAGATACCTTTCGCACTGGCCAGCTGGCCCACACACCCCGGAGGTACCAGAGGACTGGGACTCGATGAATAAAGTTCACAGAGAGCGGGTGGAAGGGGAGATGGGGAACCTTCTGCCGTGAGCGAGGCTGGGCCATGGCTCTTCAAACGCAGTTTTGATAACACGGGTCAATGACCCTAGCAGGAAGGGTGGTGCAGTCGAGATCTGATTTTATAAAAGCCTAGGTGAGGATGAAGAGAATACACGCTGTTGATGCTCCACACCGAGTTTGTTAGCTGAGATTCGTCCACTCGTTACTCCAATCCTTTTGCGGGAAATTGCGGTATCTAGGCATTCGAGAGGATTTTGACGCCTATCGCACCTATCACGGCATCGAAATAGGATGTTTGTGTCTTATCTAGATCAGTAACATCAACGTCAGCCGGCCATTGCAAGCTTTGTCTCTCCACGGTAAATCTTGGCCCACGAAAGATCCACGAGGTGCTGGCAAATTGACAAGTTTTATCAGATACCGTGGCGCGCTTTTGTGCGATCCAAGACTTGTATAGAAAGCTGAAGCTCTTTTGCAGCAGTGTATCGTCGGGTGCAAATTGTATTGCGGCCTCTGAATCTGCCCAAGCCTGGACTGCTTCATCAGTTGCTCGGAACCCGTAACCAGCAGGATTTGCACGCGGCAGCTATCCTGACAGCTGCAGCTGTCAGACCGTGCTGTTGGGCCGTTGCCAGAGTTTCGGATTGATGCTGCGGAGCGGTCAAGGTGGTCTCGACGAATCGTAGCATCCAGCATCAGCGATACTGTAAACAAGCTGCAAGATCCCCTCAGACAGCTCATAGCTTGCCTTCGACCTCCCTGCATCTGACTACACCGTCTACGATACTCCAGCCGACAAGCGGTCAACTGCGCTGGATGGGCCAATAACGATTGCGAAGCTAGTCAGAGCCAGCGGTAAAGCGACTTCGCACTGTCGGAAGCCATCTCTGCCTAAGTCGGTCTTGATCACGGTACCTTCGCTCGCGGGTCTTGTTCAAAGTCTCAGTCGTCCCTCGGTCTCTTGTCTTACAGCGGAAGCCTCCGTTCGTTTGCATTCTCGTCAACACAATGCCTTGTCATAATTGCTCAGATCCTCTTGCGTCACTTCTAAATGCGAACCATGTTGTGAGTACTTCCACTGGAAGTTGAGATGTCGACGAACTTGAACTGACACCAGACTGTGCTAGTGGAACAACATACCTGCTATGCATCATGATGTCTATCACCACCCAGCCCGATCGAGCTATCACGGACAAGATTTAGATGTATTCACAGCCTCAAATGATGACGTTCAATCGACCAGCGCAACCTTGCAGAGTGAACAATATCATCAGTATCCAGCAACGGGCCTACCTTCCGTCGAACCAACCAAGCCCTTATGGAATCAGACTCCTATTTGTTGCCCTATCAAGACAGAGGGCTCGACAGAGGGCTCGACAGAGGACTACTTTGACGGCCGAACTCATGTTGTCGATTGGGACACCTCCAACTTCTTCGACAGACCATTCGATCCGACCATTGCAGCCCGAGACTTTCTTTGCATACCTTTCGCCTCAAATTCAAACCGTGATATGCAAGGACTCTCCTCCGCTGCCAGCGCTTGGAACTTCCCCAGTTCACTCAGCGAGCAGTCTGACTGTGGTCGGTCATTCAGTTCTATCGGCAGCATCGATCAGCCTTCACCGAACAGCACATATCTCAGCGACAGCACATACACCAACACAAACATGTGCATTAGAGGCAGACACGATATAACGCATTCGCCAGACCCCCGATTCTCTTTGGGAGCTCAATCCCTCAATCACACGGAGTCCTCGCCGCAGCACGAGCTCGGAACACCCGCAGACCAATCGGGAAACAATGGCGAGATGTCGTACCACTCAAACTTTGGAGACTTGAAACACTGGCAAACTACTCCGGATGGGTTCCAGATACCAGTCACCGGTCGGACATCATGGCCGCCAGATGATTGGGATTTGAATGCGTGGGGCCATCCGCAGGCAGCTTCTAGCCAGGCCATCCGTTTGTGGAATGGTAACGGCATATCGCCAACTGTCTATCGGTCTCAGAGCAATCAGAGGAATGATGCATTACCACTGGGACCATCCGAACAGAACAGCCACTCATCATGTGCGGACTCAGCTCAGGAGGAGCTTGAAAACATCAACCTTCCGAACTCACGTCGAAAGAGAGAAGACTACTTCCTGGTGACCTCCAAGCGAAAAGGGATGACTTACAAGCAAATCCGTGAGAAAGGGGGACTTCAAGCTGCAGAATCCACGCTGAGGGGAAGGTTCAGGGCGCTGACGAAAGATAGGAGAGACAGGGTGCGGAAGCCAGTATGGACGGACAAAGATGTGAGTGTATCGAAAGATGAAAATTTAAAGATTCAGTTGCTAATGATGCGGCCGCAGATTCAACTTCTTCATCTCGCCGTTCAGCGGGAGATTGAGGGCCTGGAAGTCGGTGGCTTCGCGAGAGGAGCAAGCCTCCATGCCCTCGAATCGAAAGTGTCCTGGAAGAAGGTGGCTGACTGCATCATGGCGAACGGCGGGTCGTACCGCTTCGGCAACGCAACGTGCAAGAAAAAGTGGAAGGAATTGATGCACTAGGTAGGCTTGGGCTGTGTTTGAGTGAATTGGCAGTATTGGGTAATTCTGTACAGTGGTACGATAGTCATTGCGAGCGCTGGATTAATGGGCATACAAGGGGGTTCGATTTGTGCAGCGTTCACTGGTACTCGTTGCATCACACAGTCTAGATAGACACACTAGGTAGCAAGCAAGGCATTGAATGCCTTCCAATGAGATAATATGGACAATCGTGAAAGTTTGTAGGAGCTTGACGTCTGAACAAACTTGGGATCTTCACCAAGCCCCCACCATCCCTCCACGCGGGGCATGGAAAAGGTGGCACTCTAATTCTAGAACAAGCTGTCTTGTGTACGCCTGTCTGCCACTGCTTGGGTTGCCCCAATGCAATTTTAGAAACCTGAACAAGATAGAAGCTCTTCAGCTTGGGCTATGTGGAAGCTTGTTGAAGCACTTCTAGCACTGGCAGACAGGTGTACGCCCGGGCAGAGTGCTTGATGAGTGTGCCACTTCTTTCACGCCCAGCGGCACACCAAGCATCTCCGTCGCTCATCACGTCACTGCCAACAACCTCAGTTGCTCGCCCAAACTCCCCAAAATGCTGCTCGGCCTCTCAGAACCGCTCCCACATCTTGTGAACACAAAATTCAACGTCGCAAAGGCCGCCCAGCACCTGCTCTTCTCCTCTACCGAGCTTGCCGTCGTCCGTACGACAACGGACGTGCCGGTGAGCAAGCTGCTCCCTTTGCCGCGCCAGGTCTATCCCTGTGTTAACCTCCTCAAAGTTTCAGCTGCGGTATTGCCCAGCTCTCGCCAAAAAACCTACAGCCTCGGAGGATGACGCGCCTCGCGAGAAGAAAGACCCGTTCGACAACCCCTCCCCCGATCTCTGGATAGCCGATATACCTGCCGCCAATCCAACGCACCTCCTTGTTCTAAACAAATTCCCCGTGATCGTGAATCACTTCATACTCGCTACGAAAGAGAACAAGCCGCAGACGCATATGCTGGAAGAGGGCGATCTTGACGCGACATATGCTTGTCTGAAGGCATGGGAGCAGGAGCATTCAGTCCAGAAATCGCAGGGATTATTTGCGTTCTTCAACTCGGGAGAGCATAGTGGAGCGAGCCAACCGCACCGACATCTCCAGTTCCTCCCCGTCGAGAGCATGAGGAATGGTGAGGCGTCGGCGGGATGGGACCCTCTCATCGACATAATTGCGTCAAGCCCAGATTCGTCGCAAACGAGTGAGCAAGTCGCTAAACGTGGTGTAACAATGCACTAATAAGACTACAAAAGGTAGCGATTCCTTTTGGCAACATCCAAAACTACCCTTCGCCCATTTCGTTTCCTCAATACCTCCTACCCCTACAACCTCTCAGCTCTTCCAAACCTATAAAGCCCTCTACAATGCCGCAGCGACATCTGTACAAGACTACAAGCAAGCTTACCCGTGGATTGATCTCACGCTACATGCGACTGAGGACGGTTCGCTTCCCATTAGCTACAATCTGGCCATGACAACGACGGCGATGGCCATATTACCTCGAAGGAACGAAGGTAGCATGCTGCGAAAAGATGACGGGTCAGAAATCGGCTTTGTCGCTTTGAATGGGACGGCGCTTGCCGGTACTCTCATGGTCAAGTATCAGGAAGAATGGGATATGCTGAAGTCGCGGCCGGAGAAGCTAGACCAGGTCTTGGAAGCTATTGGGTTGTCGCATAATCCTAGCATCTGAATCTATGGACACGGCCCGAAGCTATAATCGCAATTACTGATCATGATGATACCATGAGCGGTAGGTTGTAGACCTGATCTGCCTCCTTAGACGAAACCAAAGAAACTTCGTTCACCTAAAACAACATCAGGTTACAACGCCTAATTTTCATGGGAACATTCTTGAACGGAAACGATTCGATGGATGTCTTATGATGGCTCAAGACAATGCAACCCTAGTTCGAGCGTCGCTAAGCCTCGAAATCGGTCACGTGGATACTCCGATTCGGGTCACGGTGGGTCGAATGTAAGATGAATGAGCTTGGGCGTCTTAGCTTGTTGCATAAGGCTCCTATCATCTCCTTATTCTCCGATCTCTCAAATTATTTATGAGTGGCACGTTGATATCGGAATTGCCTTCAGACTCTGGTACAATTTCTTGGCGTCTCATCCAACCTTACGTTAGGTCAAATCCGCACCGAAACCGTTAAATCTTAGAGGACTCATGGACTTGTACAAATTCTTTCCTTGAGTCCGTATAGTCTATTTCCTTTCCTGCTAGGGTCGTGAGCCTGTAGGATTCTCTGCTCTGGCGACTTTCGCATTCCTGCGGTACTTCTCTAAATTTGAGGCTACGACCTTTCTGAGCAGCATTAAACACATGCAAAAATATTAGATCATACAGCGTGTAGAACACAGCGCCAATTCCATACATCAACTTTGCGCTTATCTTTATCTATATATATCGCTTCTTGTTCACGCCGCATGCACGCTCAGCCCCATCCTGAAACCCGGGCACTCAACCTAGCCGCCCCCAAATACCTTAACGCCATGACGTTTCAAACTTTCCCTTGCCGCAACCAAGCCCCGCAGAGCGACTAAAGAACGAGGCGGCGAGCATCATCCCTACAAAACAAATGGATGTGAGTAGTCCATCGCGAGGCGCCTAGGCAGCAGTAGGCAGTAAAAGCTTAGCACAACTTGTAGAACTGAACTATCGTGCCACAAGGAAGGTGGAGCGGAGTTTGGGCGAGGATGGAGGATTGGGAGATAAAGATGGCTGTGCCGTCTTGTGCGGTAGTGGTATATCTGGCGTGTCTCTTCTCTTGAAACTTGTCTTATATTCCATTCTTCAACATCTCAGCATCCTCGCCTAAATCTTGCTCTTCCTTCTCACCTCTTCTCAAGTTAGCTCATGCGTGAAGCACTTCTTGAGCTTCTGCATCCGTACAATATAATCTAGCTCTCCTCATCGCTCTCCTGCAACATCAACCTCATCACTCCTCTACAATAGCGACCTCATCACTCTCCAACGACAAGCATACCCACACCCGTACCAGCCAACTCTAGCACCAACCGCCACTATGATCATTGCAATCATTCTCCGCGCTGTTCAGGTACACCCTCTCCATACTCCACACAGCTGTTCACATAGTTGACTATCACCAGTTCATCTTCGCAGTCGTCGTCCTCGGCCTCTCCGTTGCCCTGGTCAAAGACCAAGATATCGGCAGCTCCCCAGCCACAATCAACTACAACGCCTTCTGCGGCGGCTTCGGCATGCTCGTCGCCATCCTCGGCATCTCCGCCATCTGGGTCGAAGCTCTAGGTGGCCTCGTCATGGCCGCCGTCGACGGACTCGCAAGTATCTTTTTCCTCGCCGGAGCCCTGGTACGTATTCTTTCCGCTTCACAGCTTCACAGCTTCAGCTTCATCATACATCTACATACACCAGCTTTGCCGCTATCCGAGGCACCCTAACTACTAGCCCGCTAACGCTATCTCAGGCCGTCGTCATCACCCTCCGCGGCATCTCCTGCACCGCCAAAACCGACTCCAACTGGAACAAGATGCTCGACAGCGCGCTGCTGAACGGCGGCTGTGTGCATGTTAGAGGTGCGGGCACTCTCTGCGGCGCGGATTTTGGGCAGGCGAGCCAGCGCTGCAAGAAGAATGAGGCGGATGCCGCGTTTGAGTTTATGAGCTTTGCATTGTGTGCGGGTTGTGCGGTGCTGAGTGTCTTGGCGATGAAGCGGGGGAGTGGGACGAAGGGTGCGCTGGTTTAGAGAAGTTGGTATTACTGCTGGAGGGACTCTGGTATATCATTAAGAATTTGCAAAGAGGCCGGATTAGGCGGGTTTGATGGCGATTTGGGATATTTCAGATGAAGTTGGTTAGGGTTGGAAAGGGGGAGGTTTAGATATCTCTTGCTCCGAGAAGGGGAGGTTTTTTTTAGGAGGCGCTGGGTTCTCCAAGCGTGGCTTTCCCGCGATAAATGCTCCTGGGCAAATGATATCACACGAGGCGTGTCTCAGCAGAGTAGGGTGGGGGATCATAGATCCGAATTATTAGTTCTAATGACTTGAAGGGATTTTGTGTGCACCGGTTTGACGATGTGTGAGGTGCTCCAACAAACTTTCAGAAATACAACCAAGAGATAAATTCATCAGCTTGGATGATCGGTGGAGTAGCTAGGCCACCTCAGACAGTCGCAGAGGCGTACTACTTGCATGCAAAGACTGGATCCGTGCAGCATCACTCCAGACTCATATCAGTATATCACGGAACCACAAGCAAGACAGAAGGTGTATGCAGATCTATTCACTTTTAAACTCCGCCAATGAATGCGAGTCAAACATCCCAGCTCCGTCTCACAGCTCACCCATCTCAACAACCTCGCCACGATAGTGTCCAGCAACCAGGAACGCTAATTCGAGAGCTTGCTTCTCATTAAGTCGAGGATCACAGTACGTTGTGTAGTTCAGACTCAGGTCCTCCTCGTTCAGGCCTTCACTCCCACCTACACATTCCGTGACCGCATCGCCCGTCAGCTCTAGATGCATGCCCCCGAGGAAGGAACCGTGCTGTTGGTGGATCTTCAGCGCGGAGGAGAGCTCAGAGAAGATGCTGCTGAAGTGGCGGGTTTTGATGCCGGTGGGGGTGCTGCGGGTGTTGCTGGGAGAAAGTTAGCTTATATCCGATCATAGTGACCATGATATAATTTAGAAGGAAAGGAAAAGCCACGGACCCATGCATGGGATCACACTGCCAAACAACCACATGCCCGCTTGCCTTCACCGCCTCAATATGCGGCCCAAGCATGCTCTCCACCTTATCTTCCCCGTACCGCGTAATAAGCGTGATCTTCCCCACCTCCTTCCGCGGATTCACGATATCGAGCAGCTGAACCAGCTCCTCATTCTTCATAGACGGGCCCACCTTGATACCGATCGGGTTCTCCAGCCCACGGAAGTACTCCACATGCGCGCCGTCTATCTGCCGCGTCCGGTCGCCTATCCACAGGAAGTGGGCGGAGGTATTGTACCAGCCTTTCCTATCCGCCGACGTGATCGCAGAGTCGTAGTTCGCTGGATGCCGTAAACGTCGCGTAAGACACTGCTCGTACTCCAGCACCAAGCCCTCGTGGCTCGTGTACAGATCGACCGTCTGAAGCTGTCCCGCCGTATCTGCGCCAACGGTGCGCATGAAGCGGAGAGAATCTGAGATGCTCGCCACGATGCGCTGGTACTTCGACTGCAGCGATTTGTCGCGGACGTGTCCGAGGCCCCAGTCCATCGGGTTATGCAAATCCGCAACGCCGCTTGAGAGCTGCGCGCGCGTATAGTTGAGCGTCGTCGCGGAGTGGAAGTACGCACTGACGAGTCTCTCCGGGTTCGGGGTGCGGTCAGCGATGTCGAAGCCGTTCAAGATGTCGCCGCGGAAGCTGGGCATTTGCACGCCATCGATGGTTTCCATGGGGCTGGACCGTGGTTTGGCGTATTGGCCGGCCATTCGGGCTATGCGGACGACGGGCTTGTTGGCGCCCCAGATGAGGACTAAACTCATCTGGAGGAGGAGCTTGATCTTGGAATCGATGGGGTCGTCAGAGCAGTAGGAGAATAGTTCGGCGCAGTCGCCACCTTGGAGAAGGAAGGCTCTCCCCAGAGCAGCATCGCGGAGACTCTTTTTGAGTTTGATGATTTCAGTTGGTGTGACGATTGGGGGGAGGTTTTCAAGTTTCGTCAGGGCGGCTGTAAGTGCGGATGCTGAATCATATGTGACATCTTGCTTTATTGGCTTCGTTCTCCAGGCTATTGATCGAGTTAGATAGGTTCTTGGTGTGGTCTTGGATGAGAGAACGGAGTTCCTCACATGACGGTGTCCACTCAGTTTTTGAAGGAGCTGAGATGCCAGCCCCATCATACGCCATTGCTAACTGTTTTATGAAAGCAGCAAAAATAACGAATGATCGATGAATGTCAGATCGCGTCAGGGGCTTGCAGGTGATCCTTAAATACTCGTTAGACTCTACTCTGACGTTCGCCAAAGAAAATTGTCTTTCGTCTTGCACACCTTGAGAAATATAGAGTAGAAAGACAAAGAAATCGGACATCAGACAACGCAAAGGACAAGTACTTGATGTCTACCAATTGAGAGAATAGCACTTACCCAGTCCTACAAGGTCCTTAATGAGAAGGGCAGATTCAATGTTCCAATGAGTCACCTCAATTCTTAAATAGATGAAAAGACTCCCAAAATAACAGATATGAATACAGTAAACCCCACGGATTATCTCAACGGTATTCGCACCCTTATTGCAGTTTTCAAAGCGAGTCGCAGTGACGACCACGTTGATGTAAAACTCCAAAGCATCCCAGCCACAAAAACACAATTATCTGGGGAACCGCCCCACTGTGAATATTGCGCCAATCACCTCTGCCGCTCCCACACCTCCCATTCCACCTCCAAATCACCCTCAACCTCCCCCCGGCCCCCGGCCACCAGACCCCATTATCCTCCTTCCTCACAACCCCCCCAATTCCCCAAAATGGCCGAGCCCCAACCCCCCGACGTCCACGAAGGCGCTTCCACCCCACCCCCACCGACCGGCACGGCCGAAGACCGCAAAGCCGCAGCCGCGCTCTCTTCTCTAGACACGCACGATGACGACGGCAGCAGCCCGAAGGCGAACACCGATGCCGCGGCGCTGGGGGAGGCGATGAAGAATCTGGGTGTGGGCGAGAAGGCGGAGACGGTGAAGAAGGTGGAGGAGGCGCCGAAGAAGGCGGTTAAGGTGGATGCGGTGGATGTGGGATTGTTGGTGAGTTAAACCCGTATGGAGAAGGATGAGGAGGATGGTGGAGATGGGGAAGAGAGGGCATATGCTAATGTGTGGTGTTCACAGGTTGAGCAATTGGAGTTGAGCAGGGCGAAGGCGACGGAGCTGCTGAAGGCGCATGAGGGGGATGCGGTGAAGGCGATGACGGCGTTTGTGACGGCGTCTGCATAGTCGATGGAACGAGCCGGGGATGGAATACATATTGTAGAATTGTTCAGCATTGCGATGGCGTTTGGCATTGGAAAAAATTAGATGAGGCACCTCTGAAGGCTGCATGAGGGTGGAACTAGGACGCCTCAGCTCATGCCTGATTTGCGTGTCCAGATACTTGATATCGAAATGCGATGTCCAGATGTAGCTTGACGGACCTCTAACATTAGCAAGAGTGAAATCCATACACCTTATCTTAGGTCTGAACCCTATCTGAAGTATCGAAGGTGCGGCTTTAGATGTACTCAGGGCTTGCTATCTGACATGAATATCTATTTGAACATATTATATACGTGAATATAACGCACTTCATGTCGAATGTTGCTATCAGAGACTTCAAGTCCCAGGTCTAATATGCACCCCATAAGTCTAATCCCCAAATCCACCCCTCATCCTCTACAACAGCATCCTCGCAGCCCACATTGCCAACCCTATAATCATAGCCTCCACACCTCCTGATCCTCCGACCCTTCCACCCGCACCTCCTTGCGAGTTTGTACTCGTAGCGCTCACACCTCCATACCCCGTCTGCGTCTGCGTCTGCGTCCCAAACCCGTACCCAGCCACCGAGCTCGCCGCGGCCTGCGGAACCTCTGTGACAATCACCCACGGCATCCATGTCGTAAACGGCGCCGCGCTCACACTCGGGTTGCTGTCCGCACTATACAATGGCAGAGCTGTCGCGCGCGTCGGCTGGGGCTTATTATCCGCCTCTTGGGGATCCAAGACAGCATCGATAACGTGCATGACGCCATTTGCAATAAGTAGATCCTGTGTGAGAATGCGGGCGGAGTTGACGAAGAGCGAATTTGAGGAGAAAGAAATGGTGAGGGATTCGCCGGCGAGGGTGGTCAGAGTGGTGCTGTTGCCGTCGGTGAAGTTGGTGCTGTACCAGGGACCGAGGGGCGAGGCGACAATGTGGTATTTCAGGAGCGTTGACAGGGCCGTTGGATCCTTAGCTAAGTTCGAAATAGCGTTGTTGATGGTATTTAGGGCCGCGTTGTTCGGCGCAAAAATGGTCAGATCGGAGGTTTCGTTGAGTAGAGCGGCAACGGCCGTGACGCTCTTGTTCGGTGAGTAGTAGGTCGCCCCCAGGAACGACGTGAGCTGGAACGGCTCTGCGGCAGTGGAGAAGAGCTCAGCGGTGTCCGGGAAGCGGGTTGGGGGGGTGACGAGGGAGCTGATGATATGGATGAGACCGCCGGCGAACTTAATATCGGTCTCAACGGCAGGCGAACGCGACGATTGTCCCGAGACCCAAATCATCTCTTTCTCATTCTGCATCACGCCGCCAAGGCGCTGCCCTGCGGTCACATTGCTCATAGTAGCATTGTTGAGCCAGGTCGGGAAGTACTGGAAGGTTGGCTTCAGGTCATCGGAACCTATGGAGCCTGGAATAACGTGGTAGTCGAGGATGTTCTGGATGGCGACCACATCATTGTGGTCGAAAGCAGGGCCGACGACTGGGTAATATATCGTCTTTGCGAAGGCATCGTTGTTGGGCGCGAGGATGGTAATGGGGGACGAGGAAGGCTGCTTTTCGAGGAGGGCAAGCAGCTCGGGATACGAGTTCTCGAGGACGTTTTTAAAGGTGGAGAGATTTGCGGTCTTATTAAGGGTGTCACTGAAGGACGGGAGATCCGCGGCTAGGGTGCATGATGTGAAGACCAGCGAGAGACTGAAGGTGAGGAAACGACTGGATAACATAATGTGATTATGTTGTGGATACGCGCATCACCGAAGAAAAAACGAGCGTGGTGTTGAGGGCGGCGAGGTCCCAAAAACACGACGAGGCACACGCTTTACCTTATGAAAGGACTTGTGGCGTTGTCGCAAATGTTTATTGGCAAGATAAGGCAGCCCGGCATCTAGATTGGGAAACACGCCGTATGGAACCATGGAAAGGGGTGAGCTAGCTAAGACTTGGGAAGGTCCAGGCACAGGGCTGAAGGAAAGCTGCATGGTCCTACCGGCTTGAGCATCGTGAGTTGCTATTCTGTATTACAATCTGTGGATGTGCGGATGCAGGATAGAACATAATTATGTGCACAATATCAACATATGGTGTCGATCGGTCATGATGGAGACGGCAAAGGGTTGATGATTTGACGCAGGGGTCGCGCTAGTGCGAGGCAGCGGGCCGGATATGTGGGCACCACGTGGATGCCGAGCGCTTAATGATAGATGCTGTAACAGACATTGCGGCTTCTGCCTGCAGGATAGGTGCGATGCTAAGGCGAGTGCCAATCGCCGGTTTGTGATGTTGTATGAGGGACGAAGCCATCCACTCACGCTGGGCGTGTAAAAGCGGCACACTAGGAGGTATCAAGCACTTTGCCTCGCGGATACATCTGCCACTGTCTGGGGTGCTTCAACGAGTTTCCACATAGTCCAAAGGTGAAGGGTTTCTATCTGGTTCAGATCCATGAAAATGTATTGAAGCACTTCATGCAGTGGCAGACAGGTATACACACAGGCTGAACTTGAACAGCGTGCCACTGTTATCATACCCAGCGTGGGCGGATACTTCGTACCTGTAGCCTCAGGCCGATGCACGTGATCCGATCCGATCCGATCTAATCAGATCAACCATCATCGACATCGTGAACGTGGGTCTTCACTACGATGCCTCAGAAATTATCCCCACTCCCACAATGGGCTCCTCAGTCTCCAAAGGCGCTCGCGCAGCCGGCAACGCCGCTCGCAAATACCCCACACGAGTCACCAATGCCACAAACACGCCTTCTTCCGCTCCTCCAGTAGCACCAGGCGGCCGACCTGGACCTACCGTGCATCCGACACCACAGGCAAGCCAGGCCAAGACTGAGGGTAAGTCAATCTATTTCTCGGCGCTTCGCATCATACACAATTGCTAACCAACAAACCTCCACAGCAATAAACCTCGACGGCCAAGACCCAACCTTCGCCGCCCAACTCCGCTCCCTCGGCGCCGTCCAACCAAACCCCCACTACTCCTCCACCTCAACATCCCCTCTAGACCCCCAACGCTCCGCGGACACAGACTACACTTCCCAGCCCACGTCGCAGTACCCTTCCGCGTACCCCGACCCAAGCACCAACCCCGCGCTGACCGTGCTCGCGGCGCGGACAAGACTGCAGGAGCTGGCGGAAGAAGAGCTGTCGCAAACGGGCCGGAGGGGCTTCCAGGGGCGGTCGTTTGTGGATGTCGCGGCCGTAAGGCAGGCTATGATGCTTGTGCAGCGGGGGGAGACGCAAAGTAAGGCGGAGGAGACGGTGGGGTTGAAGAAGGGGAGGTTGGGGGCGCTGGGAAGGGGGATTGTGGAGGCTGTGTGAATTTGATGCAGGGATATCAAGTGTATAATACTGTATTGGTTGGATGGGCGTATTATAAGCATGGGGGAAACCCTGGTTACAGGATGTAGGATTACGACCAAGAAGGCGTATGGTAGGCATTGTCCTGAAGACCGGAGTCGGAAGCATGAATAAGTGGGTCACACTCAGTAATGAGCTCTCCTTCAAGCATGGAGAACTTGGACTAGTCAAACGAGTTTTTATACCATCTGAATCAGACGCGCAGATTGCGCATCATTCAACACAATGAAGCATCAGAGCTATGTCTCAACCCCCCAGAGCACTGATCCTGAACACCTGCATCCCAACTCCACAAACGACCACACCCACGCCTCTCCCTCCGTCAGCATCCAGAATAGCAAGATCTGCAACGTCCGCCACAGCTGTATCTATTTTACCAGCATTCCTTACGTCTAGTCCTTCAACGCCTGGCTGAGTGCAATCGATGCTGATAATCCACAAGATAACTCGCTGGTCAGTGCCCGACGTGACGAGCTGCAACTCCCGCGCAAGGGATTGATCCGAGTCAGCATCTGCTCGAATCATAGTTGGAACGGTAGGCAGGAAAGCACACGCCGTCACAGCGGCTGTGTGGGCGCGTGGGACCAGGAGTGTCGACACGTTTGGCGACGAAGGCTCAGCAGTTAAGCGGATGAGCGTGACGCCCAGTGCTCCATCATCGCCACCTGTGACGAGTAGTGTGATTTCGGGCGATATGGGCTGGTATGCAAGCGTTTTGGCCGTGTTTTGGTGGATCTTAGTGCGCGAGGAGTGGATGAGAGGGTCAGATGAAAAATCCCAGAATGCAACGTGTCCATCAGTTCCTGATGTGAGGAGTATCTGGGGCGAGAGGAAAATGGAATGAGTGAGGCATGAGGTGAGGTAGACTCCAGTGTGAAGGAGACTCCATGGAGAGGGCGAGGAGGGTATATACGAGTAGATCTAGGAGGGAATATCAGTAATGGCAGAGTCGATGGAAAGGATCAAAACGTACTCTGATAGTGGAGTCTGAATATGCCATCGAGATGACATATTGCCTCCCTGGTCTTTTAACATCCTCCACACTCTGCTTGCGTACCGAGAAGCTCATTATGCGCAGGTCTGGTACGTCACTTTCCGACTCGCAGACAGCCTCGCAGACGACACCTACACCAATAATTGGAAGCATACGGATACGCCATACGAAGAACTCTTCACGGCCACCGCTGCTAAAGAGATATTTGCCATCCTCGGACCATGCTAGGTGCTGTATACCAGTCATGTGCTTCCGCAACGTCCGTAGACATCGGAGGCTGGATAGAGACGCTGATGTCAGTCCATGGGATGTATACTCAAAGATCTTGATGTCGGTATCCTCAGCGCCGGTTGCAATCAGCTGTATGGATCCGTCATTGTTCGGAATATGCGGCGAAACGGCAACGGCCTTGATCTCCCGTCCATGCCCGCCACTCCGAAGAACCTTGTGTGATGCTTCGCCGCGATGGCATACTCTCATGTTGGCTGCTTGGGTCCAGACAAGAGTTCCGCCAGGGCCTGAAGGACTAGGGTCAAAGGCCCAGTTCCTGTGAGCACCTCCGCATTCGACTGTCATGACCTCTTCTTCATTACTTTCGTCGAGGAGGATAAACTGGGTACCTCGGAAGCCATAGACCATCAAATTTTCATTTCGAACGTAAACCCCCTCAATGTTTGGGCCGAACGGGAGGTTCGTCTTGTGAACTAACTTTGCTTGTCCGCTTTCGAAGTCGACTTGATGAGCCGCGCACGAGCCGTCTCTACCAACAGAGATCAAATAGCCAGAGGACGTTGGCTCTTCGGCATTGGCGGAGGACTTCCAAATCATCGAAGTGACTGTTTCTTTTCCATGGACGTTTGGCAGCACGTCAACCAAGGGTGCTAGCAAGGAATCACTTCTTTCTGTGTCTCTTGGGGTAGCTGGAAGGGCGTAGCACGCAACCGATCCCGATCGACTTCCGACAAACATGTATTCTTCAGTTCCAGCTCCCTGAGTCTGTGCAATAGTCGTGCTGGTGGCCACAAAGCTTGACTGTCCTGGTATGGATAAGGGTATCTCCTCTACTACGCTGAAGAGCAACCCGGAATCCCGCTCACTTGCGGGCGATTGATTGGACGAATCTTCTCCCGCTTCCAGCCCAGATATGGTGGGTGTAGCCTTGATATTCTCGGATTTGGAGGGGCTAAGCAGGAGAAGGGTGGCTTGTGGTCCCCCTATCAAAGTGACTAAAAGATAAAAGCTCTCTTTGTCGCAACGGAGAGCCTTATGCGGGAACAGGCCTCCTACTTTCCTACCTGCCGAGTAGATGTGTTTTGGGCTAGAAGACTTCGGAATAGCATATACGTCTCCTGTAGTGCCAGCAAAGAATGCAATCTCGTGAGATGCCAAACTGGCAGTGATTGAATACCCTTTGAGGGTCGGTATCTGGTGGAACGATAAAGACGTTATCCTATTCTCACTGACTAGAGACTTAGAGACATCCACGGGAGGACTGCTGCTCCCTTCCACGCCATGGCCCCCTCCGTCGTGTCGCACGGAAACACGGGCGGGAGGCGAGCTAAGTTCTGTTTGCCTTGTGATTACCCTCCCTTCATTAGTCGTGAGTAGAACTAATCTCTGAGCAATAAAACTGTAGCTGCGAAAGATGTCGGTCTTTTTAGAGGACTGGATGCTCCCAACAATATCTTCCATTGTCTGATTGTCATCAAAGGTTGTATTTGTTGTGGAGACCGTTTTTGCATCCGGGAAATACATAATGATCTTGCTATCTGCGGCTCCAGTCACAATCTGGCTCAGTTGTTCTCTCGAGTAGTCCAGCGATAAGGACCACATATTCTTGCCTGTGTGGAATGCTGCGGATCTTATTTCTTTGAGATTAAAGGGGAGTGTCGAAGTGTCAGGAACGATACTATGAGTTTCCTTAGGTACCAGATCCCATATTCTTGAGGTTGCATCTTCTCCGGTCGATATCATCTGAACAGCGTCGACACTATGGCCAGCAATACACCCTGGTTTGAGAAACTGAACTGTCCAAACTCGGGAGCTATGACCCCAGCCGATGGCCAGACAAAGCTGATCGGATTCTCCTGTGATTGGCAGATTGGCTCCGAAGCCAGTCTCACGTTCATGTGGCGAGTCCAACGTGTTGATAATAGGAAGCTCGGAGATATCCCAAATGCGTATTGAGCGATCATCACTACAACTAGCGAGTAACCGCTTAACCTTGGTATCGTCTTCTAAGACCAGCTTCTCGGATATCTGGACGCCGAAGACCGAGCCCTCATGGCCTGTGAATACGTGATGCAATTGGGCGCTTGATGAGCTTTCGTGCGACTCTGACCATGACCACACGAGTATCTCGCCAAAGGCCGTTCCTGCAGCTATCAAAATGTGATTGGCTGATGTCCATGATAGATGGGCCGCGTATAAGATACACCTAGAGCTCGCAGTGAGCTCGTCTAGATGGATTTCCAAGGCACTACTTCAAAGAGTTAGCATCTATTCAATCTCCTGCTAGCATTGCGCTATTAGAGTTTAGTAGATTCTATGTATTACCTTAGAGTATCTGTAGCTGTAGGCGTTGAAGATGGTTCAAATTTTAAGTTCAATCGAAGAAGCGCATTATGTGCAGTGATTGCGGCCACAGTCCGTCGCTCGATGAGAGTTGAAGAAGTTGAGATACTACTAGGTGCAAGACGAACGTCAAGTATCCAGTCGGGACATTTCAAGACTAGAGATAGATGAAAGATTGCGAACTCTTCCTGAGGAAGACTGCCTTTCCTGGTGTCATCGAGCTTCGAGAAATGTAGCCTCAAAAGACGAACGTAGCAGCCTCCGTGAATTAGAAGTACGATAGAAGAGTCTGATTGCGAACAAATCAGTATGCCATGAATTGCTTGCTTCCGAAAGATTTGTTGAGAGGCTGTTAACTTGGATGACTTGTGATGAAATAATTGAAGAAAAGGTCCTTCTGCTGCAAACAGATATTGGTCGCAGAAGGCTAAGGCTGTCACGGGAACACGGATGCATTCATACTGGGATGGGTCAGTAGGGCCTCAAGACAGGACGATCTTTGACGCACATCTATGGACTGCGACATTGAAGGGTGTGGCGATCAAAAGCCGTGATAGAATTTTGGTGTTGAGAAACTGAGTCAGCCCCGGGAAAACTTCCCCTCCGTGGCGACGTCACCCCAAACTTTTGTCTCTCCACCTCGAACATATTATTTTATTAACAGCAACTCCAAGTGATACCCAGGACGAAACTCGACCGTCAGGATGTCTCTCGGTCCATCAGAAGCAAATGTTGACAGCCTAACGGCTGAACAGCAGGAGAATTTCGAAGATGTAAGTACCCACAGATATCGAGTAACCCCACCAGAATGAGATGGAATACGTTGGCTCACGTTCACTACGCACAGATCGAGAAGCAATTTGCAGTCAAAGGTCCGTCTACTTCAATGATCAATTCACTTCAAAACTCACTGCCTCTAGTGGTACAACATATGGAAGCATACTGGTCGATACTCGAGAAGATGCGCGGATCGACTCTGCGCCTTACGAGACTGGACAACGAAATCTACGAGCACTTCAAGAAAGAGTTCCCCGACTTCGATGCGAAGGCTACAATCAATGAGGACGAGATGAAGAGCAAAGCGGGCAAGGAGCGGTGGCGGAACTTCATTAACACATATGAGGAAAAAGTGGCGGATTACAACTTCGGGACAATGGTTCGGGCGAATCCCAAGTTTGAATACGCTGAAAAGGATGAGGTTATATTTGCTGTCCGCATGCAGTTCTATGCGATAGAGATCGTCCGGTAAGCCCGATTCCGTGTCATCGTTGGGGTTTCTTGTACTCACATCCGCAAGAAATCGGGAAGGACTTAACGACTGGATCTACGAAAAAGCGGAAGCCGAGAGGAAAGAAAAAGCTAGCAAGAAGTGAGCGGCAAGCTCATGCGCCATCAATATACCCTACGGCCACGTGCGGCCATGCGACATGAACAAAGCCGGCACGAATATTTCGGCCGTCATAGTAGGTGGGCCTTTGTTCTCTCCCAAGATCGTACATAGAACGAGGGAGGGAGGATCCCGCACCACGACTCTCAACCTTTTGACCTCGAGTTGTTGGAGTGGATGTAAATTGGGTTGACTAGTCACATTATGAGATGAATGAGTGAAGACACTCCTAGATTTGCTCAAAGTGAACAAAGTGAGTGGTGAGATTTGATGGCATTCGGGACGGGAACCCTTTCCGGGCGGCGCAGAACAATATTAAGCCAAAACAATGCGATTTCTGAAGCTGGCCAATCAACGTCTTTGAGCCACTCATGTGGGCAATTCCTCGAAACGCCCATTTCTAAGGTCCATGTCTATCGCAGCGTCCATCCGATAAACCTATTCCTCCCAATTTCTTGCGACATTCGACACTGTGTCTTCGATCAATAATGGGACGCGCGGAGCTCACCGAGGAGCGCAAGTCGCGGACGGAAACCCACGAATTCGAAGAAGGCAAAAACCAGGATGTGGATACTACCGAATTGGAACACATCCGCAAGGCGGGCTGGAAGGCGCTCTTCAGCTTCACAACCAGAAAGCACTTGGGGATCCTGGCGTCTGCGACGATCTCAGCTATGGTCTTCGGCCTGGTCCTCCCAGCAGCCTCGGTCTTGCTAGGCTTAATAGTGAACCAATACACCAACTTCGGCGCGCGAAGAATCTCTGGTGACGAGCTTCTGAGGAATGTTTCGAAGTATTGCATCTACTTGACAGTCTTGGGAGCCACTTCATGGGTCACAAACATATTCAGTCAAACGCTATGGTTGACCTTTGGGGAAATGCAGGCGAGAAGCGCAAGGGATCGCATGTTCAAAAATCTTCTCTCAAAAGATATTGAATGGTATGACATGAGGAGGAATGGAATAGGCGCATTTTTGCCAAGAGTACAAACGTAGGTCTGAAATGATTTTAGTAAGTACCTGTGTTGACATCGATCAGGCAAATCCGCGAGCTTCAACTGGCAGCCTCCCAACCCATGGCAGAAGCGGTCCAATGCCTTTCCACAGGCATCGGAGCTATCATACTCGCACTGGTCTTCTCCTGGAACCTGACCCTCGTCATCATAGCCACGGTGCCGATCGTGTTCATTGTGATGACTATCCTGTCAGCTCGAATCGGCCCACATGTTCACGAACAAGGAGAGAGGCTTCAAGGAGCGATGAAGTACGTCACAAATGCCTTCCGGAGTATTGAGATGGTCAAATGCTTCAACGGACAAGAATCTGAACTTGAGAGATACACCCGAGCTATTAGAGAGGCTGCAAAGAGCTACACCAGACAAGCCAGCTTGAAGTCAATGCAGTTGGCGTTTCTGCAGTTTTGCACGCTTTCGGTCTTTGTACAAGGATTTTGGTATGGGAGCACACTCATTGCGCGTGGAAAGCGGAGCCCTGGCCAAGTCATAACCACCTTCTGGTGTGCTTTGGTGGCAGTCCAGGCTGTGACGTCGTTCATTCCTCAACTGATAGTTATTGAGAAAGGCCGAGTTGCGGGTGCAAAACTTCGAGCGGTGATGGCTCAGATGCAGGCGGAATCGAATGCAACCGGGGATGATGGCGGGATCAGACCAACTCTGTGTAAGGGAGACATTGAATTCGATAAAGTAAGTAGCGTATGTCGAACGAATACGCAGGACGTACTAATCAAGTCCTAGGTATCCTTTGTCTACCCTACGCGTCCTTCACAACTGGCGATCAAAGATGCGAGCATGTTCTTCCCTGCCGGAGAGACTACATTCGTAGTAGGCAGAAGCGGTTCTGGGAAAAGCACTCTTGGGCAGTTGCTCTTGCGATTCTACGATCCCCTGGAGGGCACCATTCGACTGGATGGACAGCCGCTGAAATTAATCGATGCCCACTGGCTCCGTGAAAACGTTACCCTGGTGGAACAACATAGTGTACTATTCGACGACTCGATATACAACAACATTGCGATCACAAGGTCCAAAAACGGAATGCCCGAACTCGATAGTGTCAAGGAGGCTGCTCAGTTTGCTCTGCTCCAGCAAACGATCAATGACCTCCCCGATGGCTTCGACACGATTGTTGGTTCGAAAGGGAGCACATTGAGCGGCGGCCAAAGACAACGTGTCGCTTTGGCCCGGGCCCGGCTTCGAGATACAGCAATTCTCATCCTAGACGAGTCTACTAGTGCGTTGGATTACATCACAAGATCATTGATGCTCGAAGCTATTCGAGCCTGGCGTCGTGGCAGGACAACGATCGTCATTACCCACGACATATCTCAGATCCAGCCCCAGGATTATGTTTTCGTTCTTGACAACGCCCAAGTCGTCCAAGAAGGATACAGGAAAACGATGGAGGAAGTTAAAGGCTCGCCATTCTATACATTCTTGACAGAGCCGGTGCCTTCGCCAACACAATCGCTAGATGACGCAGACCCTCTGGATAACTTCGAGGAACGATCTTCTTGGACTGTGTCCGGGTTAGGCCTGAAAGGGATACATTTTCCAGCTCAAGACGGTAGTCGTCTATCAGATGAATCAATCGATCCTCTAGATGCGTATCTGCAAGAGCGTTCCGAAACGCCCATGAGGCCGATCTCAGCGGTATTTGCTAGTCCTCTGGGTCAAGACCCTCGGAGATTATCTACGGCTCATCACACCTCACCGTACTGGAGATTCACCGCGAACAGCCTCAGCGCAGAACCAAACTCAGCAACCATTCGTCAAGGATCTACACACGACCTCGAGAAGTATACATTCGTCGATCCAGATCCCAAAGTCTTGCCAAAGCCCTCTCCTAGGGCGATCAGTCGCTCGGGGACACCAGTCCAGCGAATGGTCTCGGGCGCAGATAGACTGGCCGCTAGGGCGAGGGAGTCGACAACTAGCGATAGCCCTCCAGCGAAGATATCGCGCGGTAGAAGTGTACGCCAATTACTACGGAACCACCAGCATCCGCGACACCAGGCTGTGAAGCCACTTAGTACACTGAAGATTTTATCCACTATCTGGCCACAACTAGATTGGCTGGCTCGCCTATATCTTGTTTTGGCATTCCTTACTGCATGTGTGCATGCTGCTGCTACCCCAGTTTTTTCGTATGTCTTCGCTCATCTCATCTCTACGTTCTACATTTCGACGAATCGCAGCCAGAACGCCATGATTTACTCGCTATCAATCCTGGGCTTAGCGTTTGTCGATGGCGCCGCGACCTACGTCTTCCACTTTCTTTTTGAGTATACCGCGCAGGTTTGGATTACCAGCACGAGGATCGAAGCAATGAAACGGCTGCTCGACCAACCCCGACAATTCTTCGACGAACAAGGCAACGAGGTGTCGATTTTGGCTGAATGTCTGGATCATTTCGCGGAAGAAACTCGCAACATGCTTGGCCGTTTCACAAGCATTATCTTCGTTGTGGTTTTGATGATGCTCATCGCCCTGGTTTGGAGTCTAATTTCTTGCTGGAAGTTGACTCTGGTCACCATTGCCATTGCTCCAATCATGTATGCTGTGAGTGCAAGTTACCATAGCATTAGTGGGAAGTGGGAAGGCCACTCAAACGAGGCAGACGAAGCTGTGGGGATAGTACTCCATGAGACGCTGACAAATATTCGGACTGTCCGCGCTCTCACGCTAGAGAAGGTCTTCCATCGGAAATACGTAGATGCCACCACCGCCGCCCTCAAAACTGGACTGAAAAGAGCACTTTACTCAGGAATCTTCTTTGGACTCAGCAACGCTTGTATGCTATTTTTCCAGGCCTTCCTGTTTTGGTACGGATCCACCCTCATGAAGTCCGGCGCCTTCAATGCCACAGATGTCATTCAGACCCTCACCATCCTTCTTATGAGCACAAACTATGTTACCACAACGATAGTGTTCATCCCCCAAATTGGAGCGGCACAGGATGCAGCGGCACGCCTTCTACGTCTTGCCAATTTGTCACAAAACTCACACGAGCATGTTGGCACAGTACAAATTTCATCTGCTGGAAGCATTGTCTTGCATAACCTCAAATTCGCGTACCATTCGCGGCCCACTCATTCTGTGCTCCATCAAATCAACATGGAATTCCCCCCTAGTAGCTGCATCGCCATTGTAGGAGCTTCAGGCTCCGGAAAGTCCACCGTCGCCTCCCTTCTCCTCAATCTATACCCATCCGACCCCAGCAACTCCAAGCCGACCGAAATCACCGTCTCCGGCCGCGACCTGAAGCGCATCCACACGCCCACCCTCCGTTCTCTCGTCTCAATAGTCTCCCAGAACCCGACTCTCTTCCCCGGCACCATCGCCGACAACATCGTCTACGGCCTTCCCTCTTCTTCCCCACACACAGCCCTGCCAAACATCCGCATGGCAGCCGCGGCCGCCGGCATCGACGACTTCATCGAGAGTCTGCCATCCGGCTACTTCACCGTCGTAGGCGAAGGCGGCATGGGCATCTCCGGCGGCCAAGCCCAGCGCATCTCCATCGCTCGGGCTCTGGTTCGTCACCCAGATGTCCTAATCCTCGACGAAGCGACCAGCGCTTTGGACGTCGAGTCTGCGACTATCATCCGCGAATCCATCCGGAGGCTCATCGCGGACGCCCAGAACGACGCGGCGTCCTCGTTTCGGAGGCCCTCAGTACCTGATACAGCGAGTTTGGCGGGAAGTCACGGCGGCGAGGGTTCGAGAAGTATGACTGTGATTATCATTACGCATTCGCGCGCCATGATGGAAATCGCGGATAAGATTGTTATGTTGGATCAGGGGTGCGTTGTCGAGGAAGGTGGGTTTGAGGAGCTGAGGCGGCGGAAGGGGGAGTTTGCGAGGTTGTTGGAGTTTGGGGGGCTGGATGATGGGCAGATGCAGGTTGAGAGGGAGAGACTGGAGACGGGGTGGAAGGGGAAGGCCAAGGATGTGAGGAGTTGAGGTTGGAGTAGTCCGGGGGTCCTCGGGTAAGCTTCTCAATAGTTTGCGGATTCAAATATGAACTTGTTTTCCTGTCTAACTAGTCATTGCATATAAAGGCTCCAGGCTAATATCGTTCTAACGTCTAAGCTGGAGTGCTCGACGTGAGTCTCATTTTGCTTGGGCTGCTTCAACTAAAGCTAAAGATTTCACTCTTGAACAACGGTTCATCTTTCGCTTATTCTAAGGGTATGGCAGATCGTGGCAACTCTCACGGCGAAGCCTTGGGAAGCGAGGCCATAGCTGATTCTCGTTCGTTGGCAGTAGGCTTTTACTGTTGAAACCATCTCAGACGGTCGAACTGCGACCGTACCGGCGGCTTTCCTGCGGAGAAGCCGACAGGAGGGCAGATTTATGGGCTTGAGCAGAGATTCCACTGTGAGCGGGTATGATGGTAGCAGAGGTCGACACAACTTTACAGGCAAACATCATTGGAGAGGGCAGACCTATGGTGCTGGGAAAGGACTTTCTAATTCGTAGTTCGAGGGCGAATGTGACAGCTGGTTTCAGACTCAAGCTTGGACTTGTAAATCTATTAGGTATACAGATCTAAAGGCTCAGCCTCAGCGTCACGTCATTCTCCTTTTCGTCACGTATATGAACACAGTCATTCATCTCAATACGAGATCATATTCAATTCTAACCACTTTCCTCTCAGCTGGCTGTAAAGCCAGCAGTCAGAACAGGATCTTTGCTGGCGTTGTAATCTGAAGCTTTCACGCCCGATGGGTCCACTGCAGGAGAAATCTGAGATGGGATAGGGCGTAACTTGAAAGGTGGGAGACGACCACTCTTCCATGGTGATGAAATCGGCGCCTTTCGCGGAGACGCTGAAAGGAGGATGGATTTTGTGGCCTGTGATGGGTGTTCATTGACAGTACGCTGAGCCGTCTGAGCCACCGGCAAATCTAATCGGCGAAGCCTGCAGAATAGAGGCTATTGTTCCAACCTTCATGGGGCTTGGGGAAGAAGTATTCATGGAAGCACGCAGCTTTTGGGGAGACAGTTCCGCTACAAAGGGTGAAAGGGTGCGACTCGGAGCACCATCAAGTCTCAAGCCACTCAAAACTGCCCGAAATCGACACCTTTTGATAGCCGCATTTCCACAACACAATAAGATAACAAGCTTTTGAAAAGCTAGGCGTGCTGATGGTTGCTGGAAGGCTAAAAAAATCATTGTGCACGTGTGGTGGCTGCGCAGCCAACTCATGGATTTTAGTGGTGACTTGATTCTGCACTTGGCCGCATCCTTTGTAGGCGCGGGTATCTCCGTAGCATAGGTAAACATAGTCCAAAGGCGGCCACAGCGGGTGAAAGTTGATTCGGAGTGCTGAAGAGCATGGTTCCCATTCTAACCTGGCCAATTTTGTTGCTGCCAAAAGTTGCGTGCTGGAGGGTTGATTTGGAGTGCTAGAGAATAGCTTTCTGGCTGGTGTTTCAGCATGAAGCTTCTTTTAAGGGCCTTTGAGCAAGGGCTGAGCAAGGTGAGGGCTTCGACGGACCCACTGCTTTGGAAGTCTGAGATTGTATAGGGTGCAATTTTGAAGGGGGGAGAGGCGCAAAATTCCATGGCGACGACACTGATGCCTTTCGGGGAGAAGCTAACATGAGGGAGAGGTGCAAGCTTCCACGGTGACATTACTAATGCCTTTTAGGGAGAAGTGTGGATTTGTCGGCCTATAGTTCGCGCTCACTGGCAGTAGGCAGGGCTGTTGGGACCACCTCGGACAGCTTTAAGAAGTAGCAAATCTGATAGGAGAAGCCTTTAGAAGAAAGACAATCGTTCCGACCTTCATAGGGCTGTGCTGTGGGATAGAAGTTCTGACTGACGAAATCAATTTGGACTTAGACAGTTGGATGGAAATGCAAACCTCACAAGCGAGGCCTTTAGAAGAAAGGCGATGGTTCCGAACTTGATCGCGGTGTGCTTCGGGGTGGAAATGGACCCAACGTGTTGGAGAACTGAGGTCGTACGGAATGTAACTGTTATGGTGGGAGGGAGAGGACCAGTTTCCACGGCGAGAGTACTGGTGCTTTTCGAGGAAATACAGGGCATAGTTGAGGAACTGATGTTGGTGGTCATTGGTGGTAGGCTTATCGCAAAACAGAACTTGCAAAGAGAGACTTCAAGCAGCGACTTAGTAGTCTCGAGGGGTTTCGGTGGGCCCGCTGTTGTAGAAAGCAGAGATTGCGCAGGATGTAATTTGAAGGGCGAGAGTGGAATAATCTTGCCGGTAAGCTTCCTTGGTAGAGGCTTTGAAGAATGATACAGTCGGCTCAAGTGACTTTGATGGGGAAGCTTCACTGCCTTGTGTAGGGTTCAAGTTGAGGGGTGGCAGAGCAGCAGGCTTCTATGGCAACAATCTTGGTGCTTTATAGGAGACGCTGACAGCAGCGCAGGTCTGGAGGCTTGTACTCCAGGTCTGCTGGTAGTAGGCTTGGGTGATGGAGTCACCGTATGAGCTATGTCGCGACTGTGTAGGGTGTAATTGAAATGGGAGGAAAGGAGCAAGCTTCTATGGCGATAGTACCGGTGCTTTTGGAGACACCAGCAGGAAGGCATATTTGACGGCTTGTAGTCCAGTTCTGCTATATTAGGTTGAATAATGAAGCCACCTTAAACTTGGATGGTTCGATAGATGTAGCAAAGCTTACGGGCGAGGCCTTTAGAAAAGAGGCTATGGCGGGTTCGCGTTCGCTAGGAGCAGACTTGACGCAAAATGGGGCTTGCTGAGTGAAGCTTTAAAGAAGATTCCATAGGGTGCGGGTATGTTGGCGCCCGAAGAAGACATTCCTTTACAAGCCACCATAATGGAGAGGGCAGAATTATGGTGCTGGAGAAGGGTTTCCGATTCGTAACGGGAAGGCGAATGGTATCTTCGCTAGCATCATGATATTGAGCTTTCACGGCGACGTTTTGAATAGTGACTTAGTGGGCGGAAGTGGCCTCGGACCTGTAGCCTGACTGATAGCGACAGCGACAGAGCAAGCTGGAGCCAGATGAGACGGAAGCTGCCTTACTCGGAGTCGCAATTTGGAGCTTCCGTGGGTACGCTGGTGACTGGGGAGCTTCCCCATGATCTCTTCCAACACAGAATATATCGTTCTTGAAGATCGGGGATGCTTCTGAGGAGAGAGCCAGCGAGTTGGGAACGTGTCGAAGGCCCAGCCCTCAATGTCAAGCTCGGACTCAGAACGAATATAGACCAATGTGAGAATGGAGCAGCCTCAGCCTGGGTCACGATCTGGACACGGCGAGGAGTGAGTTCAAGGATGGATTTAGCGAGTTGAGAGGGTTTCGATGGGCCTGTGGGCAGCGTTGTTCCTAGACTCGGAGTGTGTTGGATGGAATTCGGACCGATGAGATTTAGGTACCTCTGCTCCGGATCGTGATCTGCTCGGGTGGAACTGGCGAGTAGTTGCTTTGAAAAGAGATCCAATGGTCTGGGAAGGCTTCGATGGCCCAGCCTCATTGTGAAGCTCGGCAGGAGGTCGTTGAGGGCAGTTGGTGTTCAGGTTGAGGAACGTTGGTGTTCAGCTGGGGAAGCTTCTAAACAATACTTGAAGTACGATAGATGGGAATTTACGCTATTTCTTCAGTGAAGAAGGTGCTTCACAACGCAGAGGAAAGTCTAACTTTGATTGCGCGTCAGGTGGTGACTGCTTAGAGATGGCCAGCCCGCTCAGCAGCTATGAGACTGAATGAAGGCAAGTTTGGGTTAAGTTTCGACGAACGTGTTAAGGCGCAACACAAGATGCTAAGAAGTGGTTCATAATTGAGCATATTTGGATAGATAATGCTGTTCAAATGGGCAGAGCATGGTTGAGAGTTCTTGACAACGGTGGAATTACCTCGCGGGCAGAATTTGACAAGTACTTTGAGACGCTACAGAGAGTGGTAAGAAAGGGTTAACAGAGATACTTCGTACCTGCACAGTAAAGATTATATAACAAAGAAGGCGAGGTTGTCGGGGGTGGCCTAGCAAGGATAATAGCCATCAGAAGGATAGCCACACTATTACCTACAAGACTAGGACACGAGTTTAGGACGCCGTCCTTTTTGTTTCGTCCCGCTTCCTTATAAGGTGTTGAAGCACCACCGGCCAAGCAGACCGACGGTTAGCGTGTGAGAACTCTCTGATTTAAGCTTTAAGGGACTTTACATCTTGTTGATATTTTTAGAATGCAGCGAGGCACCTCCAACGGTGGTAACTAACTGTGCCCAGGCTTTTGGCAAGGTGCTGCATTATCTTTACCGGGTGGCTCAGCGAGCTTGATAGTCGTTCAAACTGATAGGATTCGCATCTCTGAAAAATTGTTGAGGCACTATAGACGATGGCGAGAAAGTGTACACAGGGGTATGTGCCTACTGTGTTCAAAGGGCTGCAGCCGGCGGAGGAGCCCCATCAAGCTATAGGGCAGTTCAAACCAGTGAGACTACACTACATTCGGACTGCTAAAGAAGCGTCAGGGCACCACAGGCGGCGGCGAGATGGTGTACGCAGATACTGGTGTTATAAAGAGCTGCAGCTGTTTGAGACGCCCCGATCAAGTCCAACGATATTCCAAAATGATGAGATTTCATCAAGCTTGCATCTATGAGAGGGCATTGAGGCACCACAGACGGCGACGGAAAGGTGTACACAGAATCAAGTCTAACGGTACTCCAGCATGATGAGATTTGATTTAATTTGGATTTGTGAAAGTGAATTGAAGCACCTCGAACAGCGGCATCACGTGGCGCGGCAAGTGCCAACCTTGTGCCGATCGGCGGTGGGGCGGGCAGAATAAATTCGTTGCTGGGCCAACCGCTCCTGCCCTCTCCTCTTCATCACACTTTCCATCAAGACTTCTCACCACGCTTTCATCTCCCAACAACCCCACACAACCCCGCACAGCTCCATCGCCACTTCTTCCACCTCCATCCACCTCCCGCCATCCGTCGCACGTTCTTCGAAGGTGCCACGATGGTTCTTACCCGCGCGCAGAGGAACGCGCAGTCGGCAGCGGTTGCTGAGCCAGCACCGCCAGCGCCACCTGCAGCTGCCAAACCAGCCCGCAAACCCGCCGCCAAGCCGGTTCCCAAGGCTGCTCCGAAGCCTGCTCCGAAGCCTGCTCCCAAGGTTGCTCCGGTCCCGAAGCCTGCACCGAAGTCCACGTCGAGGGCAGCAAAGACTCCCATCGAGGCCCCGAAGCCTGCGAAGAAGGCTGCAAAGCCTCCCACCAAGACCGCGAAAACGGCAGAAAAGGTCCCGAAAATCCCGAAAACGACGGCAAAAGCCATCTCAAAGGCCCCGTCGAAGGCCCTCTCCAAGGCTCCCATCAAGGCCTCAACAACCACCAAGAAGACCCCAAAGGTGGCTGTCATCACACCCGGCGTCCAGGCAACAATCCGAGTAACTCGGGCGAGAGCGGCCACTATCTCCAAGCTTCCCGTCAAAACAAGTCCCCAAAAGCTGCCTGCTGCCGTGAACACTTCTTCCCCAAGCCCAATGAAGGTTGGAACCATAACCTCTATTCTGCAGGCTTCCCCGATTAGATTCGCCACCTCATTCCTACCATCTGAGGTGGCTCAGACGGCCAACCCCGCCGTCAATGAGCACGAGGTACAGGCCTCCAAATCCACCCTTCTCTCGGCTTCTCCGCGAAAGGCCCCCATATCGTCCCCGTGGAAGATTGCTCCACTCCCTCCTTTCAAACTGCACTCTATCCCGACTCAGATTTCCACTGCAGTTAGCCCGTCGAAGCCCTCCAACCTCGCCGAACCCTTGCTCAAAGCCTCTGCCTTACGCTCTCCAGTGAAGATTGCTTCCCCCAAGAAGAGCGTCACTTGGAACCAAGCCACTCCAGAGGCGAAGTCTCCGGAACCCCAGCCTGCCACAGCTGGACCCCTCGATGGCGTTGTAATCTACCTCGACATTATCCATCACGGCGAAGATGCCTCGGCCTTGTTCGCAGAACTTGTCGAGCCGCTTGGAGCATCACTTGTCTCCCACTGGACGACTGATATCACGCACGTCGTCTTCGGTCAAGGCAGTCAAACCACGCTGGAGAAGGTCGTCGCGGCTCATGGAGCCGTGAAATGTGTGAGCGTTGGATGGCTCATCGAGTAAGTTTCCTTCGAAGACCTGTTTCGAACTTCTGCTAACTCTACGTTCTACAGTTGCGACAAGCACAAGACCTGGCTTGACGAGTCTCACTACCCCACCGATTTGTCTCACATTCCTGGGAGCCAGACCTATCAGTCGCCATTCCCATTCCAGCAGAGCAACACCCCGCTCGCTGCTCGCGTGCCTGGAAGCGCTCCATTGCAGACTCCTTCAAAGACCACTGCTGGAGCTGCTCCACTGGACGACACTCTCGACGACTTTAGCAACAGTCCGATCAGCGACACGCACTGGAGCTTCCCGACGCCTAACATGCAAACTCCTGTCTTCATTCGCAGACTCAACGACGAAGACAAGGAGAACAAGGCCCCAAAGTCCGTTACCGACTCGCCGGAGACTCCGGAGAAACTCGTGCAGAAGTCGGCCCCTCCCAAGCAGACAAACAGGACTCTGCTTGACGTTGGCACCCCGGCCCATAGCGCATTCAAGAGACGCCTGATGGCAGGCAAGAGACGCAGCGAGGAGTTTGCCCCACACATTGGCAGCCCTCTGAAGAAGATGAGAAGGTTCTAGGCGGATGTTCGAGTATTGTTGGTTTTTCAAGCGTGGAGTTGGACGGATCGGCATGATACCCGGAGGCTTATGATGGTTTTTCCGGCGAAAAGGTGGTTACTTTTGTTTCTTTTTCTTTTTCTTTTTCTTTTTCTTTCTGGGTATAGGCAGCTGGGCCCCGTAATGGAGGGCCAGGCTTTGGGTACTTGTTTTCGCGGTTTGGGGGTTTATTATAGCTGGGCCCCGTAATGGAGGGCCAGGCTCTGGGTACTTGTTTTGCTTTTGGCGGTTTATAGCACTGAGCCACAGAGAGCCAGGCTTTAGGTAGATTAATGAGTTGATGATTACGAGTCTCTTGATTCTCTGCTATATGATGAGTGCATTGCTACCTGCTTGACATTGTCTGAAGTCTTCCAACATGGGCTCGGAAGTTAGAATTAGGATGTCACGTTTTGAACAGCGTGAGTTGGATCGGGGTATTAGATACTTTTGAACAATGTGATGGTCACTGGAAGCGTCTTCGCAGTGCCATGTAGCAATTCAAAACACTCCACTCTCCAAGCAGATTCTGGAGCTCCAAACATTACGGCTTTTGCATGAGCCTCTTAATTATGTGCTTTGTGATGAGCGTATTGCTACCTGCTTGATACCGTCTGAAGTCCTCCAACAGGGAGACGCAGAAGTCAGAACAGGATGTTCATGTTTTGAACAAGCGTGAACTAGATC